GTTTTAATGGATCCCTGCCGCATGGAACCCATTTTCGCGGCTACTTCTGCGCTCGTCAGTCTGCGCGTCTGCGCGTCGCCACCAGCAATGCCGACGGCCCTTCCACAGCTGCGCCCAGGGCGCCTGCTGCTATCTGCCCCCCCCCACGCGGCAATGCGCGCGCGGATGGCCGCCATGCTCAGAAGCTGGACGAACTGCTCTAGACTCTAGACCCGTGGCTTGCACACCTGCTGCTCGCCACCAGTCCGGCCCCCGGCCCGCTCGGCGCACGGGTGCTCGACGATGGAGCTGACCACCTCGCTCCCGCGATTGCCAGGGCAGTCTCATGCCGGGCTACAGCTGCCGCGGGTGGTTGGGAATCTGGCCTTCATTCGCCAGCGCTTGTTTCCTGCGCGCGATCCACCTTCTGGACGCGCGCATGCGCCGGCCTGGCACTTCCCGCGGCCGCGTCGTGGACCCCGCGGCCGCAGGCCTTCCCGTTCTCAAGGGCGATGGCAGCTGTGATCAGGGCGCCCCCCGCCCGATCTAGCCCCCCGGGTCCGCCGGCGCCCCCTCTGCGATATCCACAGACTGGCGGTGGAGACTGCGGCGCTCGTACTTCGCTCCAGGGCCGTCTGGCTGCTTCGGTGGCCTGTCCATTCTCTTGCAGGGCATCCCTGGTCCTTTGCTGTCTGGATTGCCTCGCGCGCCACTTCCGGGGCCCCTGGAAGGCCTTGGGCATCTGCAACCTCTGGGGGAGTAATACTGTAGGTTTTCGTCGATCTCCCCACCGACGTCGCTGCCTTCCGCGCGCGCGCCTCCGCCTCGCTGCCGAGGCAGGCGCGGTTCGCGCGGGGCCTCGCGGAGGATCTCGCCCGTCGCTGGTGGTCGCGGGGGCAGGTCCCGAAGCCAGGCTATCACTGCTCTGAGGCGCTTCCATGTTGTCCGAGACAGGCGCCGCGACGCGCCGGGCGCGCTTCCTCCTGGCTGATCCACGCCCGAAAAGCTCGATGCAGATGTCGATGGCCAGACGTTGGATCACCAGTGGTTGCGACTGCCCACGCGTAGTTGACGCGCCAGTCTGCCAATTCAGCTGCTGCATCACTTTCGTCTGGCGACCAGATAGCCAGAGCCATATGTTCGCTCCACTGCGTCGCGAGGACTCGGATCTCTGCCTGATCCCCCTTTGATCTGCCACTGTCTGGGTACTCTGCGCTCACTCGCGGACCCCCTGGATCGCCCCGCGCGAGGCCGCCCCCGCCAAAACTGAGCCCCGGCGAATCGCGCGACGCGAACCTGAGGCATTCCCCGCCGGGGCTTTTGCGGGATTCGGTCAAAAGGCTGACTCCGATGGAGACGTCGCACTCGAGGCGCTCCCCGTTGGGTCTGCCCCAAGACTTGCCCAGAGCCCGGTATTCACGCGGTCGCGCTTATCACCTCGCGGGGCATCCGGCTCCGTGCCGCGGCCCCCGAGATCGACGAACTGGCCGCGGCCCATGGCCCATGGCGACGCATGCTTGCGGGGGAAGTGCGCGCTAATCAAATCCCACAAGGGCGCCCAACGGCGGCGCGCCCAAGGGTTGGGCGCCCCGGCCCGTGCCCGGCCAAACATTTCCAGCTCGCGCCGCGCGGCGGCACGCCTCGATGCCCAGCGGGCGGGCGCGCCTGAGTTATGCCCGCCGAACACGTCCAGGACGCGCCCCCTGGCCGCGCGTCGCGGGCTGACCGGGCGTCGCCCGGCGCGACGATCTGCCGCGCCGCGCGTGGTGCCGCGAAGCAATCGCGCGGATGCCTGCGGCGACTGCCCCGCTGCTCGGGCGCGCTGAACAGCTCGGCGCAACCCCGCTGCCCGCCGGGCGCCGCGGCCGAGGGCGGGGGGCCCAGTGCCCCGCGCGGCGGGGGCGCTGGCCGCCGAGCCCCGCCCCTCCCCGCCCCGACGAGCCCGAGGTAAGCGAGGGAACCCCGTTTCGGTTGACGCCTCTTCCAATTGGCTGCGCCGCGGCTACGTCGGGCGCAGACAAACCCGCCCCGCCCCCTCGGGTTGCCTCGTTGGAAACTGGCCCCGCGGCCGCCGTCGCGCGCGGCTGAGGGGCGGCCTCGCGCTTCCGAGGTTGGCCATGATCAGCGCGGCTGCTCTGCGTCGCGAAGCTGGGCGTTCTCCATTCCGGCGAGCAATCTCCCCGCGCCCCCGCTGCCGCGGGTCGTCCTCCGACGCGCCCGCGACGGGTGCTATATACTGCAAGTGGGGGGCCCTGTCGCGTCCAAGCACGTGAGCATGCCCGCCTCGGGCGAGAGCGGGAGACCCCTTCGCTGCCCACTTAAGCTGGCGATTTCCATCCCCGCGCCCTTGGCGAATATGGCGTTACTCAGTTTGCTCGGCAGTCCCTGCCTTGCGCGCTGGCGGGCAAAGACATGCCCCGCTTCTTTCAGGACGCCCGCTGAAATGCCGCGAGGAAGGTCCGCGTTGGCAGCTGTCGAATTTATGGTTGCGCACCAGTTACTCCGCTAGGCGCCCCCGCCCCGCCTCTCGCAGCGCTTCCTGCGGGCGCCGTTTCGCATCCTGCTCGCTCTGCGCGACTCTCGATCCTGCGCGCCGCGCATGATCGCGCAATCCTGAGCTAAGCGCGCGTCGGCCGTAGCGCTGCCGGCCTGAAGAAGAACATGCTTACGATGAGACGCGGATGTGCAGCCAGGAAGAAATGGGAGCCGGCGCGCGGCTGCCCGGGCGCTGCGTCGTTGGGCCCGAGCGAACTGCAGCGCGGTGCCAGGCCAGGCTCTTAGAGATGAGCGCAAAATCTGCACACATTGCCTCCCCTTTCTGGCGTGGCGCAGGCTGAGGCCGCCAGTTGCGCGGCCATCGCAAGCGCGCCCAGCGCTCTTGGCGCGAAGTCGACGCCGCCCGGGGCCACCCGCGGGCACCCCCAGACTGTCATCTCCCCCTCAAGCCGCAGATAATGTCGACGCTGCCGCCCGCGACCCCTGCGCCGCAAGCTCAATGGACGAAGGCCGCCTTGATGCGAGTGCTCCTGTGTTGCGCGAAGACTACCGTGATGTCGCTGCGTTCCTCATGGGACCAGTGCTCTGGGAAACCTGGCAAGCGGCTGCTGACCGCCAGAGCTGACCTTGCCAGCGAAGCTGGGCCAGTCTTGGTACCTTGCCCTTCGCATGGCCGGGCCCCAGTCCACAAGCTGCTGAAGCCGCTTTCCTGATTGCTGCGCTGGCTATACGGATATAGCGCCCGATGTTCACGTAGCGATCTGTTCCACCTATGACGTCTACATCCTCCCTATCCACGACGTCCTTGAACTGTTTGCATGGAAGGCCAGGCAGTCAGGTTGAAAAAGTCGATGTGCAAAAGTGCGGCGAGGCTTCTTCTCCCCGCCTTGGTATTATTACCCTTTTGGCGGCTTGGCGTCTTGCTTTGCTGCTTTGTGCACTGCCTTCTGGGCTATGCGCGCTTCAACTCAAGCCTTGCGAGCCTCTAGTGCTGCTGCGTCCTTGCTGCTTTTCCTTCTCCTCAGCGCCTCCTCATTGGCCCTTTCCCGTGCGTCTTGCCGCCGATGCACTGGGATCCTCGCTCGACCCTTGGCGCCGGCTGGCCACTGCTATGGATGAGTATGCCCCCATTTGGCTGCCACTCGTGCGTGGCTCATCCACTTCTGCACTGACCTGGTCCGACTGTCTCTTAACACTAGCCTGCTCCAGTGCTCGGAGCTGTTCTTGATGGTTCCTGTTTCCGCCGTCGACTTGTCGTGAAATTCGTTGGCTGGTGTGTCATGCTTTGCTGCGGTCCTAGCCATGTTATTCAGCGTGGTTTTCTTTCAGGTGTCTTTGTCTGTTTCGGCCCAGTTGTGAAAACCGTGCGGCTCGTACTCGCATTCTGCCACGCGGGCGTGGGTGTTGGGTCCCGCCGCTGGCGCTCCTTGTTCCCGTGCTGCTTGGGGATCGCCCGCCTGCGGCTTCGCTGTGTCGAAATGCTCTTGTCCCTTCTGGACGGAGAAGGTGTGCTCGAGGAACTTGCCCTCGCAGTCGGCAAGGTAATGCTTTGCGGCATCGACGGGCTCCGCGGCCTTGTCCATGAGCTCCTGGGTCTTGCCCAACGCCCTGGCGGCGGTATCGACCTGCTCATGGCCAGACCAACGGTGCACCTGCAGGATGCTGAGATGTCGCCAGTGCGGGCAGGATTGCCTCATAGCTTGCCCTTCGCGGGTCGTCCTTGCCCAAGGCTGCGTACTTCGTGGCTGCCACCTCCGCCATGTCAACATCCTAGGAGAGTGGGCTGCATCCTTCGTCGTGCCAACCATCTGACCATTTGACCGATTTGGGTGTCTCGTCCGTCGCTGTGCCCTGTTTTTCTGTGGAGGCAGTGCCCTGTGGGGACCAAACTGGCCAGCCACACGCCACAGTGGCACCGATCCTCCATGCTGGCGATGGTTCGGCAGTGCTTCCATCGCCCGCAGCCACACACTAGTCGCTGCGAGGACGACGACTGCTGCTTCTCAGGCCTTGCGACCAACTCCGCCAATCGCGTCCGACTGAGAGTGGGCCTCGTTCCGGACGCATCCTTGATAGATTTGGGGCCGTTTTGCCTCCCGCTAAGCCATCTTGAGGCAAAATTGCTACGGACGGAGGAAGGAGGAGCAGGAGGGGGAGGATGAAGGAAGAGCAGGAGAGGGAAGCAGGACGGGGAGGGAGGAATGACGGAGGAGGGAGAGGTAGAGGAGCATGAAGAGGAGAATTACGAAAGGATGGAACGACGGCAGCCGATCATGGGGACTGCAACGACGACGGACATCGACGGACGACGACAGACGACGAAGGCGCCGTCGACTACCAGCGGACCGTCGGACCGACGACGGATACAGACGACGGCGCAACCGACGACGACTGCAGACGACGCCGGCGGCGATGGCGCGCAAAGACACGGACGACCGACCAAGACGACGAAAGACCGACGACGGGCCACGGACGACCGACGAACGACGGACGGCGTGCCGCTGACTCCGCAGACAACCTAAGGAGGAGAAGGAGGAGGAGGAGGACGAGGAGGAGGAGAGGGGAGGGCAGCAGCTGAATCTGGCCAGACAACAACTGGCCAAGCTGAGCTCGGCCAGCTGAACTTTGCCAGGCTGGCCTCGCCTGGCGATCTCAGCCACAAGGCTAAGCTAGGCAAGGCTGAAATCGGCCAGGGTCGAATCCAGACGGGTCGAGTTCAGCTGGCCGAGTTCGGCCTAGCCGAGATTCGCCTGGCCGATCCTTTCCTTGCCGGAGGGCTGAGGATGAGGGGGAGGCTGGTGGTGGAAGGGGTAGGGAGGGGAGGGAGGCCAGCTCACGAGTCAGAGGACGAGGACGAGCTCGAGGAGGAAGAGCTCGAAGAGCTCGACGACGAGCTCGAGCTCTCCTGGTCCGCGCCCGCATCCCCCCCCCTGCCTTGCCGACGCTGCGAGGCTGTTTTTTGTCCATAACCACCGCCTGGGGTATCGATCTTCGGGGGTATCGACGGGCGGTTGATATGGATACTTCCCCCCTCCAGGGCCCGAAGAAATCCATGTCCATCGCTTGCCGAAGTAGACCGATATCCCAAGCGGTGGTGTTGTATAAATCTCCGCCTCGGACTTCCACTCCCGTAGAGAGCCGCCGCTACCGACACGTGAACAAGCATCAATCGTAAACTCAACTGGGAAGCCCTCTGTCACGCCACCTCTTTAACGGCTGTATTGCAACTTCAGCCGGATGTCTTGCTGATTTCAGCACCGGCCCGCAAGCTGCTCATTTTGGCACGCAACTTTCTGCTCGCGTCAGCCCCATAAGGATACCTAGACAGTGAAGGTTCCCGAAAGAAATGCATCTGCAAAGAATTCGGCCAGAATCGAAAACAACTGTTTGTGACAAGATGGGTTGGGCTAGTGTACACCGAGATGACTTCGGATAGGATAGACTATGACAGACGCTAAGATCCGTCTGAGGTAAGCGACGAATCTCAGCCAAGCGACGCTGAGCTGAGATGCGGCAAACCACGCTGAGCTGAGCCGACCCTCGCAGTCCGGAGCAATGCTTTGCTGAAATGATCTCAGAACTCAGCAACATTGAAAGCTGCTGAGCGGAGCTCGTCGAAGCCAGATCAATACAACTTGATTAAGCACTCCGAAGCACGCAACGCCACGCTTGGATAAACTAAACATGTCCAGGCTCCGCTAGGCATCGCTGCGCCCAGCAGGGATCAGCTACGCACGGTCACCTGCACGTGGCACGCTGCGCCTAGCAGAGATCACCGTAGGCAAGATGAGCTAAGCTGGGATAAGGTACCCTTAGGATTAGGTCGGGCCTGTCCCCCTACAGGCGGATTCTGGACGAACCATAAATAATACTTACAACATGCCCCCAAATACTCAAACATGGTCAAACAACGTCCCCAGACTATAGGTTTACTATTTCTGAATACTCCTTCTGTAGAGAAACGGGCCCGACTTAACCTTAGGAGACATACTGCATTTGCACATGCATCGCATATGAAGTACGAACTAATCGAAGCATCACTCGTGGGCATGGGCTGGCCCGGGTGAAGGCAGGACGCGGGCCCCAGCTCACCATGGAAAAAAACGGTCCAGGGAGGCTTCTTGCCAAAAAAGGCCACGCACATAACCTGAAAGAGAGAGCAGAAACGTGGAGGACACCAATGAGCAAACTAATCCGTCGACATCTGCTTCCCGATGGTGAAAAGGCGTGAGAAGCATGAGGTTGCCCCCCTCCCCCTTTCCCCACCCCTCGGGGGCCAAAATCCTGTTACAAGGGGGTGCCAGGGGGGAGGCCCCTCTGCGAGCTCATAAACGCATGTCCAGGACCCTCGGAACCTAGAAATCCAGCCTGTGTCACCTGCAAGATGCCCAAGACGCTTTCCAAAACGGCGCAAGAAAAGCGCAAACACACGCGAGAGCCCTCAAGAGCACACAAAATCCCACCGGCCCTCTGGGCGACAGGTGGTCAAATGATATGTGTTTTTCTCTCTTGCACAACCCCTTCTTCCCTGTCGGGGGGGGGGGTACCACTGTTCCTTATTCGTATACACCCCCTCCCCCAAGCGACCGGGGGCCAACCCGGCACCATGCTGACACCATGCCCACCATCCTAGTCAAAAACCATTACAAACCGCACTCTACCACCACATTTGGAGCATGCGCGGCCAATCCGATGCGCCCCCCCCTCCCCACACCATCCCTATCAACAAACTATGCAAACAAAAAGGTTTAATCGAACCGTGAGGAAACAACAACACGTAAAAACAAGACGTAAAAACGAGACGTACACGTGAGAAGAAAACAACACGCAAAACCAATATGTAAAAACAACACGGAAGAACAATACGTAAACACAACATGTAAAGAAACATTCAAAATCAATATGTAAAACAACAAGTAAAAACACTACGAGCAACAACACATAAAATGACAACGTAACATCAATACGTTAAAACAACACGTGATCACAACGCGTAAACAGATTTCGTAAGCACAACGCATAATACACGTGAAAATTCGTTCAACCCAAGTAAAAAAAAACACGTAAAACAATACACAAAAACAATACGCAAAAACAAACAGTACGCAAAAACAACACGTACCAAAAACACGTACAAACAAACACGTGAACGCCACACGTATATACAACACGTACAAAAAAACACGTACAAACAATATGTAAAACACTGTACGTGAAAAACACCACATAAAAACAATACGTGACAACAACACGTAAAAACAACACTTAACAACAATACGTAAAAACAACAAGTAACAGCAATACGAAATAACCACACATAAAAACAGTTCGTACAAACAATCCGTTCAAACAGCACGTGATCACAACGCGTAAACATTACGTAAGCACAGCGCGTAGTGCACGTGACAATTCGTTCAACCCAGGTAAAACCAACACGTAAACACAACACGTAAAAACATCGCCTGGTAGGCCCAGCCGAGGGCCACGCGTCCCGCGAGGTGCTGGTCATGCTCGCCCCTTGGCGTGGGGCCGCTCGGGAGCCAGGGGGCGAGCTGTCTGATAGTTGGGTGCGTTTCGCGTTCTCGCCCCGCTGATGACCAAGACTCAAGAGGGCACCAAGACTGCCCAAGAGGACCCCAAGACTGCCAGAACGGCACTCAAGCGGGCCCCGAGGAGGGCCAGAGAGGCCTAAGAGGTGGAACTCGACAAGATGCCACCCCTCGCATGCGCCCAACATGCCCCAAGGATAAACCAACAACAACAGCAGCAGCAACAACAGCAACCACAACAACAACAACAGCCACAACAACACCAACAGCAGCAGCAACAACAAAAACAACAACAACCACAACAACAACAGCAGCAACAGCAACAGCAACAGCAACAGCAACAGCAACAGCAACAGCAACAGCAACAACTACACGCAGACAGAACGGAAGCGCCAAGCGACACAGACGAAACTTGTAGCCGCACGTCTTCTCTTCTGGGGGTTGGCGGAATGATGAATCAACCAGAAAGAGAATCATCATGTGGCACTGAAGGTCTGTCAACGCCTCTCCAACTTTACACTTGTTCGCACCAACCACACGCATCTGTCCAAGCTTCTCTACTTCATTAGACACCACTGGACAAGCGATCACCATACATGTCCCAATGCATACCGGCCTTCTTCTTCTTTTTCTTTTTTTTGTCCTTCTTGTCCTTGGCGTCGCCATCTTCGTCTCTCTTCCTGCTCTCCAATGCAGCAATGCACGGGAGCGCATAGATCATGCCGACAAGGACCTGGCCTGATGGCTCCTGAGAACGCACGCGTTCACACACACACACACTCACACACACACACACTAACGCACATACGATCACACTCCGATAGTAAACAAAATCGAACCTCTGGCTTCTCCTCCTCGTCCTCCTTCTGCTCCTCTCTCCTCCCCGCTCCCCTCCTCCTCCTCCTCCTCCTCCTCCTCCTCCTCCTCCTCATAAACAAATCTCTCGTCGCAACATGAGACGTGCCGCTAGGGCAGGCAAGGCGTTCGGCCAGATACTGCATCACCAGTGATGGCCCTGAAATTGTAAAACATCCAATGTAACCCATCGCGGACGCAAAACAATGATATCTTGCAGTGTATGCGGCGCAGTCTACGTGGTGCAACCAATGTGGTGCAATAGCCCCGGCATGTCTTTATATAAGAATCCCCCCGGGGTTATCGTTAGCACCGCACCAAGATTTAATATTTTCAGTGCGTCGTTGTCGCAGAGCGATATCTTTAGCACCTCGCACACATCAAAAAACAAAATTTCGTGGCGCGTCACGCGCCGCGCAATTAGTAGACATTCACAGACATTAGTGGAGCGAACAGGGCTTAGCAAGGCCCAGCAGGGGAGATCAGGGCTTAGCAGCGCTCAGCAGGGGCTAGCAAGGCTTGGCATGGGCTTAGCAGGGCTCAGCAGGGGGCGAGGCTGGCTTATCATTGCTTAGCAGGGCTTAGCGGGAGCTAGCAGGGCTCAGCAAGGCTTAGCTTGGCCCCGAGCGCTCTCTGCGGACTCCTCCGGTGCCGAGGTAACGCTTCCAGGGTGCCGGATGCTTTATACTTTCACCGGATGAGGGGGGGGTGCGGGGTTCTTAAAGGCTTGATGCGGTTAGGTCGTGCAATCCTCGTGGTGCACCGCAACGCAATGCAATGCGATTGCAATGCAATGCGATTGCAACGCATTGAGATGGCAATGGACCTCAACGCAATGCAACGCAAAGCAGTGCAAAGCAATGCAACGCAATGCGGAGCAGTGCACAGCAACGCAAAGCAAGGCAAAGCAATCGAAAGCGATGTAACGAGGTGATCAGCAAATTGAACATGCAAACGAATGCGATGCAAAGCAGTGCTAACTGACTCAAAGCAGTGCACAGGAACGCAGTGCCTCTTGCAATGCAGTGATATATTGCCAAAGCAATGGGGCGCAGTGCAGCGCAATGCGATTGCAATACGATTGCCATGCGATTGTCATGCCATCCGACTGCAATGCAAGGGGGGGGGTAAGGGTGCATCGGGGCGACGGCGATGGGCGGGAACGGGGCCGCTGGGGCGGCAGCCGGGCCTCTGATGTGGAACAAGTGTGCGGGGACGGACGGGAACGGGGTCGCCGGGGCGGCAGGCAGGCTCAATTTTAGGTCGGGCCCGTCCCCCTACAGGCGGATTTGGGGCGAAAAATAAAATGACACCAAAAAAAAACCCGAATCAGTGGATGGGTTTCGCTGAGGAGATCGACTGGAAACCCGGGAGACCGGGAACCCAAAACCCACCGAAATCGGCCCGGAACCAATAACCGGGAACCCGGGAACCCGGAGCCGGGAACCCGGGAACCCAGCCTGCTACCCTCTCGGCGGGAACTTTCGCCAAATTCTTCAACTTCCGCTAGGACCCCTTCAGTGCAAGCACTGATTGGCGAACGTTCCCAAAAATAATCTCAAAATGCTCAACTAATCGCCCCCAGACTACTTTATTCCATTTTCGAATAGTCCTCCTGCAGAGGGACAGGCCCGGCTTAAGTTCCGTTCCGTAGAGGGCAGGCCAGAACTCCCAGGAGTAAGCACTGCTGGGGGCACGGAGGCCCTCAAGGACCAGGGCGGGGGGGGCCCAGGGACACACAAATAGATAGACACAAATAACAAGATTCCCAATGTGTTTCCATATGTTCGGGGTTAATAAACAAAAATAACCGGATTCTTCCCAATATTTCCCCATACTTGCTGGGTTTCGTATTCCCGCCCACTTCCGATAGTTTCCCATATGTCCCTGGGAGTCGACGATGAATCCCACCGGCCCTTTGGGCGTGAGTGGTTTAGGGAGCTCTCTCTGTCCTCAACCCCCCTTCTTCCCCTTCGGGGAGGGGTTTACCCCTCCCCCTACCCCCTCCCCCTGGGCCTGGAGAGGGCGGGCCGCGGGTCGTCAGGGGAGTCTTTTTCGACTCCTGGGAGGGCCAAAAAGCCCCGAGGGGGGGGAGGGAGTTTGGCGCCTGAGCTCGTCGTTGAAGTAAAAAACATTGATCTTACTACGGTTTTGGCCCCATTTTGGCCTTATGAGGGGGCCGCGTTCCTCTTTCTTCTTAGCAAAATCATTGATTTTACGACGGTGTTGGCCTCATTTTGTCCTTCTCAGGGGTCAGCGCTTCTTCGCGCTTCTGAGAAGGTCGCAAAAGGCCCCAAGATAGCCCCAAGAGGCCCCCAGGGGGCTCCCAAGAGGCCTCCAGGAGGCCCCCAAGAGGCCCCCAAGAGGCCCCAAGAGGTCGCCAAGAGGCTCCCAAGAGGCCCCCAAGAGGCCCCAAGAGGCTCCAAGAGGCCCCCAAGACGCCCCCAAGAGGCCCCCAAGAGGCCCCCAAGACGCCCCAAGAGCTCCAAGAGGCCCCCAACAGGCCCAAAGAGGAGCCCGAACGACTCACACCAGGACGAGAGACCCCAACGACTCACACCACGAGGAGCCCGAACGAGTCACACCACAAGGAAGGGCCCGAACGACTCACACCAAGACGAGGCGCCCGAACGACTCACACCACGAGGAGCCCGAACGACTCACACCACGACGCGGGCCCCAAACGACTCACACCACGAGGAGCCCGAACGAGTTACACCAGGAGGAGGGGACCGAACGACTCACACACAAGGAGGGGACTCACACCACGAGGAGCCCGAACGACGTACACACAATGAGGGGCCCGAAGGAGTTACACAAGGAAGGACGAGGGGCCCCAACGACTCATACCACGAAGAGCTGGCAAGAGGCCCCAAGAGGCCCCCAAGAGGCTCCCAAGAGGCCCCCAAGAGGCCTCCAAGAGGCCCCAAGAGGCTCCAAGAGGCCCCCAAGAGGCCCCACGAGGAGCCCGAACGACTCACACCAGGACGAGGGGCCCGAACGACTCACACCACGAAGAGCCCGAACGACTCACACCACAAGGAGGGGCCCGAACGACTCACACCAGGACGAGGCGCCCGAACGACTCACACCACGAGGAGCCCGAACGACTCACACCACGACGTGGGCCCCGAACGACTCACACCACGAGGAGCCCGAACGAGTCACACCAGGAGGAGGGGCCCGAACGACTCACACCAGGATGAGGGGCCCGAACAACTCACACCACGAGAAGCCCGAACGACTCACACCAGGACGAAGAGCCCGAACGACTCACACCACGAAGAGCCCGAACGACTCACACCAGGAAGAAGGGCCCGAACGACTCACACCAGGACGAGAAACCCCAAACGACTCAAATCACGAGGAGCGCTTTCTCTCCCTCCTCCTCCGCCTCGTCCTTCTCCCGCTCCCCCCACAAGGAGGATGTACAAGGAGGCGGGAGGAAGGAGGAACAGGGGAGATATGCGGGGCCAAGCGGACACACGCCTGAAAAACACGACTGTCGGCATGCTTCGCAAGAGTTGCTGCTGTGAGATGGGCTGGTGGGGATACGCGAAGCGTAAAGAATTGTGTCTGTGTTTCGTTCTCTCCTAAAAAGGGCGGGCCCTTTGAAAAGGTTGGTCTCGCCCCAACCCCGCGCATGCTCCTCTCCAGCGAGTCCGGCAGCTGCACGGGCGAAGGCGCGCCTTGTGTTCAAAGCGCTGCTCCAGCCTTGGCGCCGCGCTCACTCGTCCTGGCTGCTTCTGGCAATTACGCGAACGGAGGGCGGGTCCGACTCGCCCTCCGTTCTGACAACGACCCGCCGGGTCGTGGCCAGAATGTGGCTCTCGGACCCGAGCCGAGCACACTGGTTGTAGACACTGCCAACACTAGCAACGACGGAAGGCGCTTCGTTCTCAAAGATGGGGCACTCACCAGAATGCGGGACGCACTCGTCGCAAAAGCTTGGGCTTGTACTATGGACTGAGGGGAGCTCCTTTTCCCAACTTGGGCCCAGGCTAAGCGCTTCTTGAACATTCGAGACTAACATCAAAACGTTCGACATTCACACGGTGTAGGGCGGCTCCTTTTCACATGCAGTATCTGGCTTGGGACTTCCATATCATCAATCCAGAAATTCGCATAATCGCGCAGCATCCACAGTTGACGGGACCGAGTGCGTTTCTCTTGCAAAATGAAATTCTTGACGCTTCGCGTAACCCCACCAGCCCATCCTACACCAGGCACTCGAAAGAAGAGCGCCGATGATCGGCAGCTGTTCTCCTCCCCTCTTCCTCCTTCTCCTCCGCCTTCTCCTCCTCCTCCTCTCCTCCTCCTCCCTCTCCTCCTCCTCCTCCTCCTCCTCCTCCTCCTCCTCCTCCTCCTCCTCCTCCTCCGCCTCTTCCTCCTCCCTGGTGGCGTATTGGAAGTGTCTTCGAACGTTTTGGTGGGCTTTTTTTTTTACCCTGGTGCTGCCCTCAGCCCACACAAACCACGCTACATGTACGTACCACTATTCTGGTTACTCAACTCGGGCTAGCGGCCGGGCTCAGTCGAGAAGTAGTTCTGTCGGTGCAGCGAGATGCAGGCCCGAACGAGGTTGGAGACCCGTTCATTTCACGACAACTGGACAGGCACATACTGCTTCGTCTGGCCTAGTTTGGCGCGGACTGACACTTCTCACCACCACACATTAACTTCTTAGCAGAATCGAACACACAAAGGTCATCATCAACTCTGTTCGCATACCGGACTTGATTGAACGCGCTGTGAACTTGATCGAAACCATCGTAACAGCCCTGAAGAGGAATTAATGTACCAGGCGTGTAAGCAGAACTCGAGAGCATCGGATTCGATTGCCAACATGCAACTGACTGCGAGATTGTATTGCCCGTTAAAGCCTCCTTGGCGCCGTACTTGACCACCCACAGCTGGCCAGAAGACACTTCAAGATACAGATTGTGCGGTTCGGAGCAGGCTGTTTGGTACTTGCGCACGTCCAACGACTCCGAGCTGTTATGCGCGGCCTCCAGCCTGTCGACACGTTCCTGCAACTCGCGGAGCAGGTCCCTGATTTCGGACATCTCCTGGGACTGGTGGGCCTTCACAGCCTTCACGTGCGCACCGCCGCGGACCTCCAGGTCAACGTTCCCGCGACCCGCGAGGGAGGTGCGGGCCAGGAGCGCAGCAGCTGCGAGGAGCACAAGAGCCATGGCGCCGAAGGGAGCCGAGCGGCAAAGCTAGAGCTTCTCAGCGAAAGCCAGCGATTTCTTTGTGACCCAAGCTTGAGCCAAAATGGCTACGGATTCGAACGTTTTGGTGGGCTCTTGGGCCTTGCGGGCGGGCGGGCGGCGCTCCGCCCGCCCGCGCGCAGGGCCCAAGAGGGGGTCCAAGACGTCTATCGGAGCCATCTTGGAGGAGATCGATCAACGAAGGGGGGGTCCTAAATTTCAGCCCCCCCCTCAGGAGCCACGATCCTCCTGAGGGGTGTCGAATTTTAGCCCTCCCAGGGGTCGATCTTGGACGCTCTGACGGATCGCGGCCCCCCCTGTCCAGGTCAGTGGGGAGGGGGTAGGGGGAGGGGTAAACCCCTCCCCGAAGGGGAAGAAGGACCGAGGGCGTTTCTCTTGCAAAATGGAATTAAAGCGTGACAGCTTCTTAAGCTGTGTGATCCTATATCTTTGCTTCTATTTCACCTAGAAGGGTGCCCAGCAATTCCTTTTCAAGCGGGACTCTCGCTTCAATGGTACGCCCGTGGCGCGCTCGCCTTAGAAATGGCTGCTTCCCGCAGCGAGAGGCGATCCCACAAGACCGCTGGGCGTCAATGGTGCAGGGCGCTTCGTGTTCCAGCCCCCTGCTTTCGCTCCAGGGAAGGGTTCGCGAGTCCACCTACCCCAGGCTGAAAGACTGGGGGGTCTTCTGATCCGGGTCAATCCAGACCCGGGTCAGTCAAGCCTGGCAGAATCCTTCAAAATCCTGCAAGATCCTGAACCCAAACCTGGGTCAACGCGAAGGATCCTGCAACATCCTGCAAGATCCTGCGCCCAAGCCCGGGTCAATGCGACCTTGGCCCTGCAGGATCCTGCAAGATCCGGCGCTCTGGCTGACCCCTGTTTGCATTGACCCCCGTCTCTTGAGCCCCGCAAGACGCCCTCAAACATCCGCCGGTATGACTTTTCCGATCCGCGGCCCCAGAGGTCCCAACACCTTCCCCTGCAGCGTTAGCTCCCGCTCCCTTCCCTTTTCTGTCCCAGATCCATGTTTGATGGTCCCTGGGCCCGATGACTTTTTCGAAGGGTTTTTGTTGCAATCCTTCGAAGGGTTTTTTTGCTGCAATCCTGGGCCCGATGGGTTTTTTTGCAATCCTTCGTTCATGGTTTTTTTTTGCAATCCTGTTTTTTTTTGCAATCCTTCGGACTTTTTTTTGCAATCCTGGGTTTTTTTGCAAAGCCCCAGAGGCCGAAATCCAGACTGGAAACAGCGAATCCTCGGATCTCTGGCCCCCCCCGCCTACAGCGCCGCCTCCCGGGCCTCGGAGCCTCTCTTGCAGCGTCTTGGGGGCCTCCGGTGGCCTCCTGGGGCTGTGGCGCGCCGAGGTCGCCTGCCCCTGTCTGGCCATCGCTCGGACGTCCATTCCCTGTGTTTTCTTTGATGTCGTGCGTGGCTTTTTCGCCAAATGATCCAGGATGCTCCTCGATGGTCCTCGCCGAAGGAAGAATGCACAGGTCCGAGCGATGCCGAGCTGCTGGTCCCTCGAAGACTTGCACGGGCGCGGGGCTCTCTCTTGGGCCCCTCGCGAGCCTCTGCCTGGGGCCCTCGTGGGGGGCCTCGGAGGCCGTCCTGGGCCCACGCCAAACCCTCGGGGCCCTCGGGGGCCTCCTGGTGCCGTTCTGGAGCTGCTTCGGGGCCGCGGTGCTTCGACCTTGGGGGCGTCTTGGGACCGTGTGGGACGCCCTGGAGATCCCAGAAGGCGAATGTCCTGACATCGCGCCAGGACCTGCGGGTAATCAAGGGGGTGTGCCTCTCGGGGACCTCCAGGGCGCCCTCTCGGCGCCGCGTTGGGCCGTCGTTGGGGCGTATTGGGCCGTCTCGGAGTCCTCCTGGGGCGTCCTGGGGCCATGTTGGGCCGACGTGGAGGTCATATTGGCGTCGGCGTTTCTGGCCGTCTGGGGGGGCGTCTGGGCCCCCTCCAGAGTTCCCAAACCGCCCCGAGAGACTTCAGACATCTCTTAGCTCACCCGTGGTGGCCCCTCTGTCTCACCGTATGCTCATCTTCGTTTCTCATCCCGGCAGCTCGTCTAGAAAATGATTTCTGGATGGGCTGGCGGGGGCACACGAGCCAAGGGCTCCCAACCTAGTGCACCGCGCTGCGCGAGAGCGCGAAGTGCGAATAACTTCGCGCTCTCGCGCCGCCTCCCAGAGGAGAAGAGGAACACGTAGCTGGCTAAAGACGGGGGGGGCTGGGGCTCCGCACTATCACTACCTCAAGCTGGAGAGAGGTTGAAGTATCAAATTGAAAGGTTCACAGAGTGTTGGACGAATGGAATCAAAGAGTGGAGGACATATGGTGTACCTCCATTGGTGGTGGTAGGCTTATGGTGCCCACCGTTGGTTGTGGAGGGACCTATGGTGCCCCTCCGTGCCCACCCCGTCCCGTCCACAGGGGCTTCGCACCTCCCCCTATGGTGGGAGGGTGGGTGGACGGGCCGCCCCCCCTGGCGTCGCACGTGCTACGCCAAATGTGGTGGGTTTTTTTTTGTCGATCGGTACGTAATATCCCCCCTTCCCTATCCTGTCCAATCCCAGGGTGCCCCACCGAATGTTACTTAAGACCGGGGTTGGCCCGAAGTGTCCGGCCACAGCCGTGGATTTTTTTGTCAAGATCGCCTGCGGGGAGGTTGGCCCGAAGTGTCCGGCCAGAGCCGTAGAATTTGTTGGCCAAGGTCGCCTGCTGGTGGGTTGGCCCGAAGTGTCCCGCCAGAGCCGTGGAAAGCGTCAGCATCAGCTTGGGCAGGTTCCTTCACGGATGCATGAACGCGTTGGGATCGAAGGTCACCAGAAAGTTTCCCCCACCCCCCAAGGGGAGGCGGAAGGGGGAGGAAGCGGAGCAGTGGAAGGCGGAGGAACGGGATGGGGGAGGAGGGGTGGGCAAAACAAACCGAGGTTCCCCGCGGACGTGGCACCCATGTCATATCACTGCCCAGCGCCACAGCGACAGGTTGCCTTCTACACGCGCGAAGCCCTGGTCAGCCCCTCAGAGACCCACTGCTCCAACAGTTCCGTTGGGTGGTTCGCGGCCCCGTGCAGGTGCCGCGTGAGCGAATCCAAGACCTCCGCCATTGAGCCAACCGGGCGGGTGTAGTCCCGCACCCTGGCCACCGCTCCGAGTACGAACCCTCGTTTCATAGACATGGGAATGTGGCTGTAAAACGGCATGCGCCCCGTGCCCGCCCCAACCGCCTTGGTAAATGGGCGCGCGCAAACCGCGCCGTCGACCTGGAGCACCAAATCGACACCTACACACGTGAAGCTGGTGTCGACCTCCATCGGAAGCGGGTAGCGTAGCCGCCCCGACCCCCCCAACACGACGGAGATGTATTCAATGTCGCCAGAGGATGATGAAGGGGGTCCCTTCCGCAACATACGTAGTCATCCAAGTAGCGCATTTCTAACACGATCACCGTGGTCCAAGTGAGCGTCCGAGGGTATATGCGGCCCCGGGGCCCCCAGCGACGGCAGCACTGGGCCACGCAGTGCGTAATAATTCTGAATGTCTAAGAATGCGAGGGCCATCCTCGTCAAAGCACTGCCCAGAGGAGAGCTCATCGCCAATCCCTCGACTCCCTGGCCGATGAGCGTTCCTCTGGTCTCAAGGTGGTGGGAGATAAGGCACTCGATATCGTCTAACGACAGCGTGATGTGGTGGTCATGGATGCGGGACGGGAGGCGGCCATCCACGGAGACCGCTTTTTTGCCCAAGCGCGCGACGCGCACAGCCTGTATCGAGGTGGAAGCTACTGAACGATAAAATGCCCAGGCTCCACAAAAGAGTGCGCGCGGGATGTTGGCGATGCAGTTCTTGACGTCCGCCACCGACCCTCTGACATGTGGAACAGGGCGCGCGCTGGGAGAATTCCTCGGTCAGGTCGATGGCCGCGCCCGCGCGGTCGATGTCAACGTTGGCGTGGCTGGGCAGGAACGCCGAGCTGATCCGATCCAACGCGCGGGAGGCCGGCGCGTCAAGGCAAGCCTTTGGCCAGCGAGAGCGATTGGCGATGGGCCGCCTGTCCTATGGTTTTTCTCTAGCTTCTTATTGGGGGCGCTGGCTTCAGCCATCCTCCAACGGGAGGCCCTGCTGATCCTTGCTGGCTGGATTCCCGCCGACAAGCCAGGGGCGACGGCAACTCGCCCCCGAACTGCTTCGACCGTGAGCTCCGGATAGTATTCCACATGCTGTCCTGCCCATCCGCCCCGAAGATCGCCCGCCCCAGAAGTTGAACCCTATAGGGGCATTCCGCAGCGAGAACCCGACGGGTCTTCTGGAATTCCTCAATCACTAATCCGTCCAAGACCGCGCGCATGCTAACGATGTCCTCACGGCGCACCGCGTCGTAACCAGGCGTGCAGGACGCGGCCGAACTCCGCGGGAAATCAGCCCCGCGGAAGGTCATGAGGCTCGCAGGGCCCTCCTCCAACGGAATGCCCGTCGCTTTCGCGACTGCCTTCGCGGCTGCGGCTGCTTCGCGGCGCGGGGCCACAGACGCATGGCGCGGTGTCTGTCGGAGCCTCGCGTGGTCCGCAGGCCACGGCCAAGAGCCCTGCGGGGCGAATACATGAAGACAGCCATCTGGAGACAGTGCGCGAGGGAGGTCCGGGAACGCCGAGCAGGCGCAAGGCCGCGGGTCTGGTTCGCGAAGCCGACGGTCGAACTCCGTGGCGTTTCTGAAAATGCCCCTGATCGTGAGGGCGGACACCTGGGCGTCGCCCAGCCGGAGGCCCCTCGAAGCGGGAAGGGGGGCTGCAAATCCACGCCCGCAAGCGTGCGCAACCACGTCTGATAATTACTTGCAAGCTCCATCCCTGGCGGCTGAACCAGACAGCCGCCGCAGGGCAACGTGCATCGTTGGGCGTAGAGTTGGCCAGCGACGGAATCGCCGACACCGGTCCAGGAATACTTTCCATTCGGCGGGGAAAACCATCCACGCGTCTATGAACGCGGTGCCAGACTGCGAACAACTCGCCCGCTGAGACTGCGAACGCGAGTCGACGAAGTTCGCCAGACTGCGGCTTCCCGAGGACGCTGCGCGCGCCAGCTGCGACGCGCGCCACCTGAGCCGCAAAAGATGACGAGCAGAAGCCTCGGCCCAGACGGCCAGGGCGAACTCGCTGAGGAAAAAAACCGTCGTTGTGAGAACGGGGCCAAGGGAGTCGGAGGCCTACCAGAGACGTAGATGCGCTTGCGCCCCCTGGATCCGGATAGCTTCTGGATCAGTTTGTGCACGTATGGCTCGTGCAGCGGCGGGTGTGCAGATGCTATAATTCGACGCTCGAGCTCTCAGAGCCCCTCGTCCGCACAAGCCCGGGCGATTGGTGCGAAGCATAGCGACGCTGCCGCGTGGATCGGACCCCGCTGCGCGGCAGCCAGCAGGGCCATGCGCGGCTGCTGGCGGCGCGAGCCTGGGCGAAGAAAGCAATGAAGGTAACGGCGGACCCTTTCTCTCTAATTGCTTGTTTCCCGATGTAGAAGAACTTGTGGCGGGGGCTCCAAATCAGATGCACCGCAAACTCGGGCGCCGAGAGGTTCTCCGAAGGGGGCCGCGTGGAGCCTGGCAGGGGCGACGCGAGCGAACGAAGTTTGCTGCAGAACTGCGCGGTGGATGCCGCGCAAAAAAAGCCAGGCGCGATGGGGGGGCGATCGAATGGAGGGCGAAGGTGCACTTCCAGTCCAAAACTTGACCAGTATATTATTGCACCAGATAACGGCGGACCAATGCCGACGTGGACAGGAACCAGATACAGAAGGCACCCCGTCATCATGCAAATCCCACGCCCCACCACATGCGCCGTCCTCTTGCGCCCGCACGCGGGCCCGTAGTCAATGGTCATGGTCGGAGGCTCGCGCCCTGACGGCGGCAAGCATCTGAGCGATTTCTCCGATCTTCGATTCGTCCAACTTCAGGCCGAGATCGTCGACCTTCCCCTTGAAGACCATCAGGATGTTCGCAAGCAATTTGTTCTTACCGCCCTTGCCACCCTTGGTCTTCTGCCCAATGCTTCCGCCCATTGATTCACAGTAGCCCTGGAACCAGTGTCGCAATGCTGGAGGTCATCCTCGCACGGGGTCTTTTCGTCCAAGGCCCATTCGAAGGACTTCAGGCCCCCTGACTGGTGCAGGCGCTGAGCGTGGACAACCTTCACGTCTTCGAGCGTGAACTTGAGGGCCTGGTTGCTGTCGGACGCGTGTTTCGGGGCGAAGGCCGATATCGCCCTTGACGAAACTGGTTTGGACTCTGGTATCGCTGCGTCGACCTCCATGCGGGCCTGGCCAGGGTCGGCGATGGAAGCAGCAACCTTGCGCATCGCTGTTGGGAGCGACTCGCCCTGGGACCCGTACTCTGCACGCTGGTACGGGTTGTGGCTTTGAACCCACTGGAGGAACACTGAAAAGTTAGAAGGTGTCGGAATCAAAAGGCACGTAAACGATGAGCTTCTGCACATCCCTACGGGCCTGCGAGCGCATGGTACACGGGCAGAAATCGTCGGCGCTCTGGCTGATGTCCTTCCTTTCCTTCGCGGTGCAGAGGGCAGCGCAGCGCCGAAACATCTCAGCATGGCACTTTTTCCAGGCTTCCATAAACTCCTCCGAACCGAAGGGCAGGTCGGGGTGGAAATTCGGTGGCAGGCCGTGCGCAGTCTGTAGGATCCGGGCCCCGGCGTGACCGCCATCGAAAACGAGGTGCTTCAAGTCATCGCCGGTCAGCTGGTCGATGATGCTGTTGGCCTTCTCGAGCTGGTCGGGCGGACGCTCCACAGATGGACTGCCTGCACGAGGACGCACGGTGGGACCTTTAGGATCTGGCCGCAGTACCTGGGGAGTCGTGTCAACATCGCGCGGACGAGGTGGTGGCTGTGGGGCTTCACGGCCCCTGTGCGCCCTCGGAATGAGTAGAATCGGAAGATGCGGTGCGGACGAGGACTTCGGCGTGGTTGCTGGACTGGCCGCCGACGGACACTCGACAGCAAGGTGGCCGCGGGTACCGCATAATGGGCACGGTGGGTCTGACGGAGCCGTATGGTGGCTCCTGGAGCGGCCGCCGCCCCCGTGGTGGGCAGGCGTCCGTTCCATGTCTCAAGTCCGATAGTGGCCCGAACCCGTGTCCAATGGCCGTGTCTTATGGTATCTCCAGCTTCTGCTCCTCCGCTCCCGTGAACCCGCGCGACGGCCATCACGACGAACATCGCGAGAATTTTCCCTGCCATGGCGCTGCAAGCGGTAACCAAATGTCATGGCGGCCAAACGGTTGTGGCCGTAGGGACCCATGGAGTAGATGCAAACTACCTGAGAGAGCCTGACGGGGCAGCAGAAGCAAACTACCTGAAGGAGCCTGACAGGGCAGCAGAAACATAGAGAGGGGACCAGTCAAACCCCCTTACCCTCCCCCTCCCAAGTTCCATGACTTTGCTGAAGGCAATGTGGAGAAACTAATGGACGGCCGACAGGGGATACAAGTCCCGATCACGGCCCAGACTGGAGAGAGGTTGAAGTATCACATTGAAAGGTTCACTGAGTGTTGAACTAATGGAATCAAAAAGAGCTACTGAGTGTTGAAGTGTCAAATTGACATGTTCACTGAGATGTGTGCATCCAAGATAGCCCCAAGACGGCCTCACCATGTTCCGTTCGGGTCGGATATGGGGATATGGTTCCAAAATGGCCAGAGATACCCTCAGATGGCACCATACATCTAGCCGACGACGACTCAAGGCAACCCCGCCTATATGATTTCCAAGATGCCCACAAACCGCTCCAAGACGGCTCCAAGTGGCCACGGAGTCTCTCAAGGGAGGCCAAACTCCTTCAAAAACAGTCGGGCTGCTGAAATAAGGAGCGCTAATAAGGAAGCCCCTCTGTGGCTTCGAGAAAGCCTGGGTGCACGAGAAGGGCTAGAGGAACAACCACGGAAGGACGCAAGGAACATCGAGCCCCTTCCGAACTTATTTTCGCGTCTTGGCTGCACCAAGGAACAATGATGAGATTTGCCTTCTCGCCTTCTCGTTTCCGACGAGCGTCTGAGGCCTCATACTGCCCCTCAATAGCGACTCGTGTACCTAGGGTTATTCTGGTCATCGTCCTCCTCTTCCATACTCCTGATTTTCCTCGTCCACCCCTGGTCCACTCCCCCGCCAAGACAGGGCCCAAGACGGCAGAATATTGCCCGCTCCAGACGGGCCAAGAAAGACCCCAGATTGCCCAAAGGGCCCCGGGCAGGATCGAGGGGTTCCTGACAGCCCACGGGGACCCTGGGAGGCCCTGAGATGCTCAAGATTGCCTCACTATGCTCAAACCTTAGCCCTGCAATCCGAAAAAAAACACGTGGGCTCCCCCAGGCGTCCCGACCCCCCGAACGCCTCGCTCGGAGTGAAGCACGAGACCACTTGGCCACCATCTGAACCGCCGCTCCGAAGTTCTCAGGATCCCGCTGGGTGCTCTTCCTCCCCTGGCAGGGACATGTCAGGACTCGGACGGCTCAGCTCCTCCGACGGGTAAGCGAACACTGCGTCGGACTCACGCGCGCGACTATAGCCGACACGCAGAAGAGCTCGCAATTGCATGCCTCAAACGCGCCCCGGGATGCCGGTTTGACGCCTCCGGAAGCACAAACAATCATCTCCCCCGTTATCTGTCTGGCATCGACGGGTCCCGTGAGTAGCCAAGCGCGGCCTGCACACCCAACCCCTGGGGAGCACAGCGCCCCAAGGGCGCCGCTGGAAGCGGCGCCCGGGTGTTGAAACCGCCCGGGACTACTCGGAAGGCCTGTTGGGGCCAGCTGGGGCTACGCACTGCGCGCCACCCGAGGCTTTCTCAGAGCCAGAGACAAGGCTATTCTTCGTCGTCATTGCGTTTCCTCCTCCCTCCTCCTCCTCCTCCTCCTTCTCCTCCTGCTGCTCCTCCTCCTCCTCATCGCCCTCCTCCTCCTCCTCCTCAATCCTCCTCATCCTCTTCCTCCTCCTCCTCCTCCTCCTCCTCCTCCTCCTACTGCCCCGCACTCAACAAACAACCCACCCCAATCACGCCTCTTGAGGTCAACGCCGGGCTGTGCATCCGTCTTGCTCTCCTCCGTGCCGTTGCGGAGCTTATCGTCGAAGAGGAAGGGATTATTCGGGACCTTTCCCCATCCCACTCATCCTACCTCCTGCAGCAGCTCTTCCTCCTCCGACTTATCCTCGTTATCCTCCTTTCTATGTTCATGTTCCTCATCATTCACATCCATCTCCCCCGATCTCATCATCATTCTCTTCCTCACCCCTCCCCCACCTGCCCAGACTCCCGGCGTCTGCCCCTCCGCCTCCTCCTCCTCCTCCTCCTCCGCCTCCTCCTCCTCCTCCTCCTCCTCCTCCTCCTCCTCCTCCCCGAGCGGGGGCCCGGTGCCTGCTTTCATTGGTGTCGGTGCCACGTGTGCCCTGGGGCACACTGGCAACAGCGTGGTGCACAGGATGAAGGCGCAGGAAGGCGGCCCCCACGGGTGAACCATGGCTGTGCGGAGAGTAGTCGGCGGGGCAGCGAATCGCAGGGCCACTCGTCCCTGCTCGTGCCGGATGTGCCTCCCGAGGGTCTGAGCGTGTCGTCTCTGGGAGTTGCCAGGGGGGTCGGCACCAGGAAACTCTGTTCATATGCTCCTCCAACTCCTCCTCCTCCTCCTCCTCCTCCTCCTCCACCTCCTCCTGCGCCTCCCTCACACGACGACCCCTGGACTCCTACGGGGGTTCGTTTCGGGGAGGATCCGCGCTAACGCCCGTGACCCATCTCTCCCCGCCGCCCTCCCCCCCTCCTGGTCATGCCACGATGCGCGCCGGCGCCGTCTGCGAATCAGAGTCCAGCACGAATCGTGACGTGACCGCCCCCCGCCCACCGCCCGCCCACCCCCCGATCACGCCGCTCCCGTCAGGGATTCGCAAATCCTGGCGCCCGCACTCGACTCGAAGGGCCCTTGTGGGAGGGAGGAGGAGGCCTCTCCCGGGAGGAGCGGCCGCCGGCCAGCCCTGCGGACCGAACGGCCTGCCCGAGTCGAGCCGCCCCCCGCGCATCCCCGCCCCCGCTCCTCCCCGCCCCCGGCGGCGCGGGGGCGGCGCAAGGGTGCAGGGGGAAAAGTCCGTCTTCAGGATGCTCATCAAGTCGAGATCAGGAGGAGGAGGAGGAGGAGGTGGAGGAGGAGGAGGAGGAGGACGAGGAGGCGGAGCATCCAGGGCGAGGCCTCGACGACTGATGCTTTAGAAACAACAGGGTGCCCTGGCCTGGGCGGGCGCTGCTCGCTCGTACCCCGATGCCTCCTCCCGACGTCCTTGCCACCCGCGCCTGCCCCTCCTTCTCCAAGCTACACGATCTCGGGGAGAAAGGCCCGTAAACCTACGCGACAAGTAGTGGGCCCCCGCCTTGGGTAGCCCCTGAGAGCAAGGCCCAGCGAGGGCCCTGAGGTGATGGGTCCCGAAGCACTAACACACGAAACACCAAAGGAAGGACTGGTCGGGCCGATGAGCAAGTTGGTGCGACTCAGGGGCAGGCGTCGAGGAGGGAGAACAGGAAAACGAGGAGGATGAGGGTGGACGAGGACAAGGAGGAGGGAGGGAAGGAGGGAAACGTCCGTTTCCGGGCTGCTCTACAGCTGAGCGAATATCCAAAACGAGACTTGCGCGAGATATGACGTAGCGCCTCTACGCGGTGACGCGGGCCACTGGCGCGGCACGCCACATTTGACGCGAGGGCGGTTACGCGTGACTACACGGGCAGGGGCAACTTACGCGCCAATGTCGGCGCAGACGATTCCCCCCTTTTCTTGCGTCGCTCACTTGGCGGCGCACAAACATGGTGGAGAGGGGAGAGCGCTTCTTGGAAGGAGGCTGCGTCTCAGAAGGCGCCGGTCCTGCATGTATAGGAGAGGTCCGCGCCTTCTGAGAAGCAAGTGTGCTTTTGGAAAGCGTTTCTCCCTCCGCCCCAACTCCCTCTGCGCGTGGCTGATCTAGATAAGACGACGCCAGGACGAAGTTAACCCGGGTGAGGATAGATCGGTAATATCCAAGATCCCGCTGCTCTGTCTCGGGCACCGCGGCCTTCAAGAACACCCCGAGAGCGTTCTGGACCGCTCTGGAATGGCATCCTCGTCCTGACCCTTCCCGACTACAGGTCGAAGTAGCGACCACCCTTAGTGAACTTTACTGGCCAGTCTAAGTAATGCAAGCTGTGCTCTCAGACGGTACCCTGGTATGACGTGGCAGGACTGGCACCAATTTTTTAACCGTTTCACATGCCGCAAGAACGATTGGGGGCACGATTTGTCCGCTTTTGGCATCGCTTGCACTTGCGTGGCTTCGCACTCTACATTCTTTGGCGGCCAGCGCTCTGAGAAAACGAAGCGAGGCTTCTTTGAACAAGCTGGGTGCCAGGATCTGTCGTCATCGACTCGGGACATCGGATCGACACGACATGTGGGCCGGATTGGGCCGCATCGGGTTCTTGAATCGGCGCTGCCCCCTCCTCCCCGGTGCGCGGAACACGCCACGGGGGGCACCAGAGCCATCGCCAGTGGAGCGGGACGAGGCCAGGGTGGGCGAAACGTACTGGAAGCAACAGGGAGAAGAAAATTGTGGAGACATGCGCGGTCAAATTCCATGCGGCGCTTGGAGAGGCGATGGACCAACCCCTTCCGATCTTAGCAAAGAACTTGCGCCAGGGGCAATTATCCTGGCGAAGGTCCCAACCATATGCAGTTGAGGGTACCGTAATTGTGTGTATCTGCTTCGGTGAAGCTCCCTATGGGGCCACGAAGCGCTGCACTGGGCGGGGGGGAACGCTGTACTGTGTGGGTGGTGTGCCGAATTGGGTTTCCGGGACGCATGCGGACGGTCCCACTGAGGGCTTCGGTGGAGCTCCTTAAGGGGCCACGAAGCGCTCTACTGAGTCAGTGAAAATGCCAAATTGGATTTCCCGGGCGCATGCGGACGGTCCCACTGGGGGCTTCGGTGGAGCCCCCTATGTGGCCACGAAGCGCTGCACTGCGCGGGTGAAAATGCAAAATTACATTTCCCGGACGCATGCGGACGGTCCCACTGGGGGCTTCGGTGGAGCCCCCTATGTGGCCACGGAACGCTGCACTGGGTGGGTGAGCGCTGCGCGGGTGAAAATGCCAAATTACATTTCCTGGACGCATGCGGACGGTGGCACTGGGGCCTTGGGTGGAGCCCCCTATGGGGCCACGAAACGCTGCATTGGGTGTGCGGGACGCATGCGGACGGTAGCGGTGGGGCTCCCTATGGGGCCACGAAGCGCTGTACTGGGCGTGCGGGACGCATGCGGACGGTAGCAGTGGGACCTTCGGTGGGGCTCCCTATGGGGCCACGAAGCGCTGTACTGGGTGGGTGAAACGCATGGAAGAGGGGGAAGAGGGACACGAAACGCTGTACTGGGTGTGCGGGACGCATGCGGACGGTAGCACTGGGACTTCGGTGGAGCTCCCTATGGGGCCACGAAACGCTGTACTGGGTCTACGGCACGCATGCGGACGATAGCACTGGGACCTTCGGTGAGGCTCCCTATGGGATCACGAAGCGCTGTGCTGGGTGTGCGGGACGCATGCGGACGGTAGCACTGGAACCTTCGGTGGGGCTCCCTGTGGGGCCACGAAGCGCTGCACTGAGTGGGTGAAACGCATGGAAGAGGGGGAGGAGGGCCACGAAACGTTGTACTGGGTGTGCGGGACGCATGCGGACGGTAGCACTGGGACTCCGGTGGAGCTCCCTATGGGGCCACGAAACGCTGTACTGGGTGTGCGGGACGCACGCGGACGGTAACAGTGGGACCTTCGGTGGGCTCCGTATGGGGCCGCCAAACGCTGTAATGGTGTGCGGGGCGAATGCGGACGGTAGCACTGGGACCCTCGGTGGGGCTCCATATGGGGTGACGAAGCGCTGTACTGGGTGGGTGAAACGCAGGGAGGAGGGGGAGGAGGGCCACGAAACGCTGTACTGGGTGTGCGGGGCGCATGCGGACGGTGGAGGAGGAGGGGGAAGAGGAGGAGAGAAGGAGAACGCGGGGATCGCCTCTTCAAGACGAGGACCCAACAGCACAGGATTGTTGGGAAAAACAGACCGGACGGCCCAGCACATATTCAAACAATCGATGCGGAATCCACGCCGAAATTCTGTTTTTGCAAATTCATTCAAACGCAAGCGCGAAGAAACTAAAAGTCGCTGGTTTCCCCAAGGCATCTCGGATCGACATTACATCGGCGAAGGCCGACAAAAAGGCGGGGCCGAAACCAACTGCGTGCAGCTGTTTTCGTAAAAGGGGTGTACGGCGATCCTAATTTCACGATTGTGTTGGGTTGGCGACACAACGGGAACTCTTTTGCGAGGATGTGCGGACTTCCTTGTGACACAAGAGTCCGCACATCTTCGCAAAAGGGTGCGTGCGAGTAGCCCCCCGGTTGGGTTCCCCATCTCCGCGTGAAGATGGACGCCACGTTTCTCGGGCGGGTGTTTTGCCCCGTCCACGCAGCCGACTCGGCCTCGCTCCCGCTGCCCGCTGTCATGGCCGCGAAGCCACCCAACTGCGCCAACCCGGGCGACGCGGGCGGCACGCGTCGGATGCTACCCCTGCGCGCGGGCGTGCGCATGCGGTTGTTTGAGCGCATGGACCTCGACGGAAGGCTCGTCAAAGACACCGCAGGCGAGGTCGTCCACGCGGCGTCAACCCGAATGATGAGGACGAGTTGGGGGCAGCGAAAGCCGCGCAACGCGCGGCGTACCTGCGGCACCTGCCGCACGGCGTGTGGTGCGCATGGGCAAATGCAAATCCGACCCCCGCGGTAAGAAGCTAGCGAATCTCGATGGCAGCATCGGCGCCGCGAGCGCGACGGGCCTCGTCTTCATCGGGCCGTAGAGTCCAAGCCCGTTCGGCTTCCGGAATCGTAGAGTCACGCGCTCTGGCCTGGTCATCTCCAATGCCGAAGTACTGACGCCCACGCTCTGCAAGGAACGGACCGTGCACCGCGGAATCATGTTCGACGCCGGGTTGAAAAACGGAAAAGAAAAGGACGATTTCTGGCTGCATCTCTACGTGATGCTGACCAGGGTGACGATGGTGGAGAACCTGCTGATCATACGCAACCCCTGCAATGATTTCCTTGCCCGGGGGCCACCCGAAGACTTGGCGGCGCGACTGCGGGCGTTTAGTTCCCGCACTGAAAAGGTGCAGAAAGAAGGCGGAGGCGCTGGCGGGCGAGCTAAGCCACGCTTGCTTCTTGCCAAAGCGCTGATCTTGTGGATTGTCAAAGCTACATGGCGCGGGCCACGCTACATGTGAAGCGTGTCAGTGGAAACAAACAGCGTCCCCCTTGTTTAACATCCCGCCTCTTTCGTTGTCGTCCTCTGCCTTCCTTCAACGGTATTCCTGCTGCTGCCGTCTCCTCGCGTCCTTCTCATGCCCCTCCTTCCCACATGCCTTTCCTCTTCGAGCCTGGGGGCTCAGTCCTCGTCCTTCTGTTGCTGTCCAGTGGGTCGTTCGCGCGCGCTTCTCAGATTGCTCGCACCACAGCAAACGTGACGGCGCCTGCACTGTCGATGTCCACGCACATTTGGGCCAGCTCCTCTTGCCACTTGATGCCCATGGGTTGAATACGGATCAAGGATTTCTGTTGTTGGGGGGGACCAGGTGAGGGGGGGCGAGACATCGCCTGCGATTTTACCCCCCCATCTCCCCTTTCCTGACCTCTCCCCTTGCCAGGTGCTCCGAAGGGGGGGGGGGTAGGGCCCAGAGGAGGGGGACTGGGCGCACCATGGCTGGAGGCATGCGCTGGAGCGGACGAAGCGGGGGCCAGGGCGCGTGCCGAAAGAAGAGGGGGCCGGGACATGAAAACTGGGAGGTACCATGACAGCGACCCCCCCGACCCTGGCCCCATCCCTAGACGGGGAACGTGGGGGGGGGGACCGGCTGAGGGGGGGGGGACCCGTCGGCCTGGAATCGGCGATACATCGCCGATAGATCGGCAGCAGGCCCCCGCCGACAAGTCTACACGGTCCTGACCGGGGTGGGGCTATCGGGCCCCCCGATGCATCGGCGATGCATCGGCGGCGTCGGCGCGGAGATTGTCGGGCTCCACTTCGAACTGCGATGGAGAGCTCGAAGACGAGCTCGAGCTCTCCTGGTCCGCGCCCGCACCCCCTCCCCCCTCCCCCCCCCTGCAGAAGCTGCTGGGCGGGGATCTGTCCACGACCACCGCTTGGGGGATCGGCCTTCGGAGTCCTCGGCAGGCGGTGGCCGCTATGGACAGATTTGGACACCCCGGACGCCGAAAATAATATCGACCCCACGGGCGGTGGGCATGTCTAAATCCCCGCCTCGGACGAAACAGCCCTCCCGCGGACACGCCTCGGGCGCCTCCTCCTCCATGAACGGCTGTCGCAGCCTCGCCGGAGAGTTGCGCCAACCCCTCCTCGCCCCAGCAGTGAGGGAGCCCGATGATCAGATGTGGACGGGATGGGCCGACAGAGGTTGGCTCGGCCTGGCAATCGTTGCAGCCACAGTGCACCAGAGCATTGCGTGATTGGCAGCAAGGGGTTCTCGGACGCAGTCGGCAGACACGCCAGAGGGGGATGATAGATGCACTGTCCACTGGCAGACCCCATACAGGCACAAGATATCAACAACGGACCTGCCCGATTTAGCTACCAAACATTCCGATGCTAACTACCGCTGGCAAGAAGAGGCAAGTGCTGGTCACGCGACAAGCCTGACAATACAATAGAAGCTCGACCACAAGAAACCTTCAACAAGAAGCCCACCCCTGAGGCCCCGAGACGTCCGCTGGTTTTTGGAGGGAACGTCACGCTTTCCATAGTCGAAACCCAAGAAACCCAGGGCACCCTGGAGGCAGCAAGGTGTTTCTTGGCATGTGCTTCCACTGTACACAGAGACCAAAAGCGTCAGGCGTTCAGACCCCTCTGGAGTCCCTGAAGCCACCTGTAGCTTTGGATAAACGGACACCCGGCCAAGGCGGGCCCGTGCACACACGGACACCTCTGGCCTGCCTTCGGGCTGCGGTAGGTGCGCGTCGATGGACACAGCGCCTTCGCTTGGCCGTCTCGGAGCTCCCGGTGGGCGCCAGGGCGGGCGATCGGGACCACCTGGACACCAGGGCCCTTGTTTGGTGTGGGCAGGAAATCGGGAGCCGAGACTCCCTGTCGGGGTGCACCTGGCTGGCCACCTCAGAAGCTGCGCGGTCAGGCCGTAACGCCGCAGGTCAGGAGATCATCCCGCATCCACCGCCTGGCCACCCTTGCTGATCGGGGCCCGTTGCCTGGCAGGGACAGGCAGCGCCCGAACACCGTCAAGCCAACCTTTGGCCCGACGCGGGCGTGCTACTGCATCGCGCAACCAACACAGCCCGAGCGGTGGTCAGGCAGTGGGAGATGGGCTGACGTAGCGCAGCGAGGAGACGTCTAACCCACAACCATGTTGCAGGATGCGTTGCTCCGCACGAGAGATCGAGAGCGAGAGAGGTTCACAGGCATTGGATAAACAGAGAGGACCCAAGGGAGCCGTCGAGCGCAGGCCACCTCCTGTCGACAATGCTGGTACGACCGTGGTGATTGATGACTGCCATCTCAAAGACATGTCATGACTACCAACGGACGCACATCATACAAACGGCCGCGTGCTCCTCTCTTCGGGTGCCTCCGTGCAGGCAGGGCCAGGGATCGGGGGCGCGAAAACATTTCTCGACGATCCATGGATCTGGCGCGCGGTCGCCAAGCTCGCCATCGCTCGGACGTCCATTCCCTGTGCTTTTGTTCCGCCGAGTGATCAAGGATGCTCCTCGATGGCCCTCGCCTGGAAAAAACGCACACGTCCGAGCAGTGCCAGGCTCCGTGCAGGCAGGACCAGGGTCGGGGGCGCGAAGACATGGAGTAGCGATCCATGGACTCTTGGCGCGCAGCCGCCAAATCCATGCATCGGGGGAGGGGCCCTCCCCAGAAGGCAGCCGGCGCCGCCTCGCTCGGCGGCGGAAGCCTGTGCTCCCCCATGGAAGCGGGACCCGTCGCCGATCCACGGCCCCTTGGGATCCATGTTTTTGCGGTCGCCCGATCCGTGCGGGCAGGGCCAGGAGCAGGACGGGAGGCCGAGGGGCCTCTTCTGCTTCAGCTGCTTCGTCCTGCTCGGCCGGACCTGGTACACGGGCGCGGCATTCTTGCACTCGTAGGTCCTCCCCCCCCCGCGGCACACTCTGCGAGCCGATGAGTCGTGTGCACTCCTCCTGTCAGGCTCCCTGTCTCCTCCTGCCAGGCTCCCCCCCCTTTCCTCCTCCTCCTCCTCCTCCTCCTCCTCCTCCTCCTCCTCCTCCTCCTCCCTTCCCCCCCCCCTGTCGGGCTCCCTGTCTCCCCTTCTCTGTCCCGGGCTCGGGCTCCTCGACCCCTCTCCCTTCTTGGCGCTATACGTCTGGCCGCCTCGCTCCACGCGGGAAAGATCTGTGCTCGCTATCCCAACCCCGCGCCCCCGACGGCGTCTGCAACTGGAGGGAGGGGAGGACTGGAGGAGGGAAAAAGAAAGGAGGGGGGAGGGAGGGAGGAGACTGGAGGAGACGTAGGGAGGAGGAAGGGAGGAGGAAAGAGGAAAGAGGGAAGGGGGGGAAGAGCAGGGGGCGCAGCGGCGGATCGAGAGAAGAAACTCAGTGGCAGAGGCCCCGCGGGTGACAGCTGGACGATGCACATCCATCGACACCCTTTCCCGATGCCCCCCCCTGAATAGAGGACAACAAACGGCACAGACAGACTACCCTGGAGGTCCGCGCGGATGCCTTGGATTGCCGATGGACCCCTCTCCCTAACCGCACCGATCCAAGAAATCCGCGCGGGCCTCCGAGAAAGCACACGTGCGCATGCCGTCTGTTGCTCTTCGGCCAAATCTGAAGGGGCCCCAGGACACACAAATAAATACACACAAATAAAAAGATTCCCCATATTTTCCCATATTTTCTGGGTTTCTGTCTTCCCCCCCACTTCCCATATTTTCCCATATTTTCTGGGGAATCGACGATCAATTGTGTCTGTGTGTTTTTTCCCCTCCTGAAAATCTGCACGCAACCAAACTCACGACTACGTGCCCTCCCGTCCGCGCAAGCCTCACATGAGAAGAGCGTCTCCTCCCCCGTTCCACCTGCCCGTGGCTCGTCAGGGGATCGGCAGCTTCGGGGCCCCGGGCCCTAAGCGACAGGTTTGTAAGGCCCCACCGCCGAGAATGGATCCTCAACTTCCTCCTCTTCCCCCCTCCCTCCCCCCCCACTCCCCAGACATGGTGCGATCGGCGATCTGCCCCCCTTTCCATTCCTTTCCCCCGTCTCTCCCTTGGCGGTTTGGGGTCGTAGGCAGGGCCACGATGTTGGAACTCGACGAGTGGGGCGCAGGGACGCCACTTCTCGGTCCGCTAACTCCTTCTGCTGGTAGCCTCGAAAGACAGGCGCCGACGCAGGCGACGGCGGCGTTCAATAATTCCCCGCATTCCTCCTCCTCCTCCTCCTCCTCCTCCTCCTCTGCCTCCTCCTCCTGCCCGTATGCCCGCTGCTCCCGGTGTTTCCTCCCGACTTCACTCGCCTGCGTGTCCTGCGGCCAGGTGCTCTTCGCCATGGGGGGGGGGCCACCAGCACCACATGGAGGAGGGGAAGGAGGAGAGGGAGGGAGGGCGAGGAGGAAGGGGAGGAAGAGGAGAGGGAGGAGGCGAGGGAGGAGAAGGAGAAGGAGGAGGAGGAGGAGGAGGAGGAGGGAGACGAGGAGGAGGCGTGGGAGGAGGAGGAGGAGGAGGAGGAGGAGGCGTTGCTGCGCCCCCCTTCCGCCCCCTGGTGCTCGTCGCGCTGCACGTGGTCCTCCTCCTCGTGGTCGAGGAGCCCAGGGCCGACGGGAGCCAGCCCCGTCCCCCTGCCAACTGCGCGAGTCATCGCCAACGGGGGCCACGTAACCGTTGATCCAACAAACTCCTCGTCGTCGTGGCGTCGGGGCCGAGGGCTTAACTTGTTCGATTCAGATCGCTACGCGATCAGGCTGAGTCTCCTCCTCCTCCTCCTCCTCCTCCTCCTCCTCCTCCTCCCGCGCGGCGCCCCCTCCAGTGGCCGGGGGTCAGGCACTTCTGGCACGTGGGCGTGCCCTTCGTCTTCTTGGCCACCAGCATGCGGCTCAACGCCGGCCGCGCCCTGCCCGCCGCCGTGGCGCGGGGAGGGACGACGACGACGACGACGACGACGACGACGACGACGACGACGACGAATTGCCTTCGATGGGAGGGGCGGAGAGGCTCGGCGGCGAGGGCGGCAGCGGCGAGGGCGGCAGCGGCGCGCCGGAGCCACGCTGCACCTGCGCCGGCCACGGTCTCGACCCTCCCGCCAGGGGCTGCGCTAATTATGGAGATCGGGGGGGCGACGAGGCAGCGACGCCGCGGAGCTCCCCCCCCGGGGCGAGCTCTGGCCGGGACCCCGAGAGTCCCACCGTGGCGGCGAGGGCCCGCCAGGACGAGCGGCGGCGCAGGATCGGGAGGCCGCAGCCGCGGAGGCGCGGGCCCTCCAGGGCGCGCGGCGGCACGAGGGGCTCCAGGGCCGGGGAGGCGCAGGGCTCGGCGATCGGGGGAGGGCGCACGGCCAGGCGGGGCCGTCGGGAGAGTGACGAGGCCCGGTCGAAAATTGGGCACGATCCCCCGCTGCTCACAGAGTGGCGGGGAAGCACACTGGGAGTATGACCAGGGCTGAGCGCAGAAGTGCCGTGTCGATCTTGCCCGGCGTCGATCTTGGTCCTGGTCGGCGTCAGGGCGTGCATCATCCTCGCGAATTGGCGACGGCCGACATGGACCATGACCAAGATCGGCGCGGACGCGGTCCTGCGACATCTCGGTCATGGTCGGTCGCCGTGCTTCCTCTCTCGAAGGCTCCACGAAGACTGGACATCAACAAAACTCAGGACGGGCTCGTGCAAAACTGTGTCGGCAAGCCCACTGGGGCGTCGTCGTCGTCGTCGTCGTCGTCGGCGGTTCGCTCTTTAGGGGGCTCCAGCCCACCTCACCTTGCCGATCTCGGCTGGGCCTCAAGTCGACCCCGGGCCCGGGGCCAGCCCCCGGCCAGGACCGCCCACATCCGCTTCGGGAGGGGTCCCCAGGTGTACCCCTTCGGGGCTCAAGAGAGAGGGGTACCCCATACAGCTGGGCGACGAACATGTCCATAGAGTCGGACTTCATTGGACAGGACACGCGAGAGGACACAAGTCCCTTCCGAGGGCCACATTGCCATAGGAGTGTAAGCAGGCACGTGTCGCGAGGCACGGGGCACGAGGGTACCCTTGAGCTGGCAGGGTCGACCTGCTCTGCCGACTTCATATCCGTGCCCCCGCCACGCTCGGGGCACACGCTCGGGGCACGCGCTTCCCCGCCAGGGGGAGCGAGGCCGCGGCGACGAGGGCCCGCCAGGACGAGCGGCGGCCGGCGCCCCGCGCGCGGCGCGGCCGTTTTGACGCTGCGCCGACCTGAATCCTCGGATTGTGGCGCTAATGCGGCGTGGCGTCCTCCTCCTCCTCCTCCTCCTCCTCCCCCTCCTCCTCCTCCTCCTCCTCCTCCTCCTCCTCCTCCTCCTCCTCCTCCTCCTCCTCCTCCTCCTCCTCCTCCTCCTCCTCCTCCTCCTCCCCCGTCCTCGTCCTCGTCCTCGTCCTCCTCCTCCTCCTCCTCCTCCTCCTGCTCCTGCTCCTCCTCCTCCTCCTCCTCCTCCTCCTCCTCCTCCTCCTCCTCCTCCCTCTCCTCCTCCTCCTCCTCCTCCTCCTCCTCCTCCTCCTCCTCCTCCTCCTCCTCCTTCTCATCCCTCCTCCTTCGAGGGGCAACGATGGGGGGGGAGCTGGCATAGGGGGGGAAATCATCCACCTAAAATCATGCATCGCCGAGAGATCGTCGATAGGGCCCCAATAGCGAATCCGCAAGTTCCTGGGCGGGGTGGGGCTATCAGACCCACCGGCGATTCAATGGGCGATTAGGCGTCGATGCATCCCTCCAATGCCTATCCCCTCCTGTCGTTGCCCCTCCACCTTAGAAGGAGAAGAGGCATCCAGAAACCTTGATCATCCAGAAACTCGATAGTCTTCGTGTTGCGCAAGCACGTGGCGGGGTTTGCCGAGGGCACCTGCATCATCAATGAAAAAACCTCGGGCCAATGCTCTTGGCATCTTCCCACAACTGCCCGGAAGAGGAAGCACCCGGAGACCTCTGGGAACGACACGAACGAACCAAAACAATCCCGCCCAAAATCCGAAATCCGGAGGAGAACAACTCCTGCGCTATTCTTGATCTATTGTCCCGGGAGCGGCCAAGAGGGGGGTGTCCAAGAGGGGGGGGGGTGCAAATCATGACCGGCGGCATGTGCGCGGCCCAGCGGGGGGGCCAGGGACGTACTGAAACAAGAAGAGGCGCCATGAAATCTGAGGAAAAATCATGGCCCCCGCCATGATATCCCACCCCCCCCTAGTCATGACCCCCCTCTCTGCCGCCCCCGACATCTTTCGGAGGAAAACAATCCGGAGGAAAAGACTCCGCAGGAAACTCGAAGGCAATCCGGAGGAAATTCGGATGAGGAAATTCGAGGAATCCAAAATCCGAGGAGACTCCACAGCAAAACGACGAAATCCGAGGAGAATCCGAGGAATCCAAAATTCGAGGACTCCAAAATTCGAGGAAATTCGACGACTCCACAGCAAAACGATCCAACATCCGGAGGACAACCATCCGGATTTGCTGTCGTCTTGCCCAGGAGGTCCAGGAGGAGGCGGGGCCGCGGAGCGAGCCCCGCCAGGCCCCGGGGCCACGGGCCGAGCGGCGCACGGGAGCCCCCGACCGCACGCCCCCTGCCCCGCCCCCGACCTGGAGAAGGGCGGGTGGGCAGGGAGGGTCACGCTGCTCCCATCGTGCTCGAGGGCCACATCCCAGAAGCAAGCTCGGGCATCCAGAGGAGGACGGATGGACAGGGAGGAGCATGCTGCTCCCATCGTGCTCGAGGGCCACATCCCAGGAGCAAGTTCGGGCATCCAGAGAAGTGTCGAAAGGGTGCCGAAGCAGTGTCAAAAGAGTGTCGAAGAGAAGCGTCGAGAGAGTGTCGAAGCAGTGTCGGGCGAATGTCTCCCTGTGCCCGACACGTGAAAACCCTCGAGCTTCGGTACTTGTCTTGGTGCTCAGATTTTTGCCTGGTGATCACGGCTAAAATAGTTTGGAGCATCATGAAGGGAGGACTGAAGAGGAGACTAATTGGACGCAGAAGATAACATCAGCGACAAGAAAGACATTCAAAACGAACTTGTGCGATAGTTGTTACTAAACTGGAAAACGCTGCGAGTGGAATAATAGTGGGCCGAGAGGGAGATAGAACGATTCCAAAGGAAGGGGGTGATTAGGAAAGGGCAAGGGCAGCAACATGGATACATTGAATGAGAAAACGCTGCATCGGCGCTGACGCCCCCCCCCCCACCGCCCTGGCGCGCGGAGCGCGCCAGTGGCAGCACCAGAGGCTCCGCCAAGCGGGCCCAGCGCCGATCCAGGGTATCGGCGCGGACCTCAAACAGTTTACGTGTACGCCTGTTCGTCTTCATTCTCTTCAGGCCTCTTAGATGGGGTCGGACTAGATGAGGTCGGAAGATCGCGCCGCATCGCTTATACATCGGCGATGCATCGGCCATGCGCTCGCGACATTGGCGATGCATCGGCGACGCCGGCGCGGAGAACATTGGGCCCCACATCGGACCGCAACGCTGATACACCGCCGATGCATCGCCGATGCGACACGACCCTCCGACCCCATCTACTTCGACCCCACCTAGGAGGCCTCGATTCTCCTCGCCCACTCCTCTGAGGGGGCACGTACAGGGAGGGAGTGGCTCCGGGGCGGCGCGCCGATCGAAGACGTCCGAGCAGGACTCCGACAGTTCATGCGCGCGTGTACGCAGCTCCCCCTCTACTGCGAGGGGGAGGGGGGGGGGGGAACCTGCCCGCCCCGCCCAGGAGAAGCAGCAGCAGCAGCAGCAGGAGGAGGAGGAGGAGGAGGAGGAGGAGAGGAGGAAGAGGGGAGGAGGAGGAGGAGGAGGGAGGAGGAGGAGGAGGAGGAGGAGGAGGAGGATGAGGAACAGGAGGAGGAGGAGGAGGAGGAGGAGGAGGAGGAGGAGGAGAGGGAGGAGAGGGAGGAGGAACGACGAGGAGTAGGAAGATGAGTGGGAGAGGAGGGGGAAGAGCAATCAAGAAGCAAGCGAATCTCGCGGAGTCTCGAAGCGGCCTCGGCTACGCATCCAAACCTCGGGCAGCCACTTCGGACTCCGCGGGGGCGGCCAGCCACCTGCGATGGTCGCATGCGCCCTGCGGCGTGCGGGCGATCGCGCACGGCGGGCGCTGGCCCTGGCCTGCAACCTCCAGGGCACACAATCCCACGAGGGGCAAGCCGATGGGCGCGATGCCCACGTCTGGATCATCACATCCAAAATCTTAGCACCTGGAGGGCAGGAGGAGAAAACACGCCACGGACCCCCCCCCCGTAGCGCAAGAGGGAAAAGAGGGAGGGAGCCAGCCAAGCGGGCAGAGCCAGTGAAGCAGCACGCAAAGCGAGGAACCCGCCAACGCCCCCGAGAACAAGCCACAAACAAGGGAGGGGGACAATTCTGTACAAGACAAAAGTTTTGCACGGATTTCCCCCTCTCTTTTTTCTAGCCCGCCCGCGGAGACGAGGAAGCGAGGAAGAAAGAAAGGAGAGGCGCAGCACACACAGGCAAAACGCACGCAGCAAAGCAACAGCAGAGGAGGCCATTCAAATTAGCGCACATACACCGTAACGGTCTTGACGGCCGACCGATGCGACAGAGCACGACAAGTGTACCGGTCAAAACGGCCAGCCAAAACTCGAGGGACCTTTTGCCCTCTCTTTCCCTTGCGAGCAGAGGAGGGGCGAGCGGAGGAGAGTCTCGCAGGGGGGAAATGTGGTTATGGAAACGTGGGGCAGGTCGGGGTACTCGTACTATTGCACGTGGCCCGTCGCTTTGGCGGCAACCTCAGTCGAAACTATGCCGCGCGCCACAAGCGTAGCCAGCCTCTCACTTGACGCCAGAAACTGCGAATCTACGCCGTGCCCTTGCCCTTGCCCATGCCCTGCAGGCGGCTGGTCTCCCTCGCCAGAGGGCCCCGCGGAGGCGCCCCCGTCAACCCGGCGCCGCCTGCCCTCGAGAAGAGGGGGTGAACCGTCGCGTTCAGGTCGTCGGCGGCGCGGTGCGAATGGTCAAGGGCCCACGTGAAGTGCACCATCTTCGCCACGCCCTCCTGTGGATTGTGGGCCTTCAACTTGAACGCGCGCACCAACTGGCCCAATTCCGTGAGCTCCATCTTCGAGACCGCAGACAAAATCCCACGAACGCCCCCAGTGTCTCCTGCAAAGCGCCTTGTGTCTCCTCGTCCACACACGCCACCTGGCCCGCTGACAGGAACGAGATCATGACGCAGAGGTGAGGGCTGCCCCGCGACTTCCAGTCGACCTCGCCCCCGTTTTTCGCGGCCTGGCGAAGCTCCTTGCCGCGGTCGTCGCGCGCCTTGCCAGCCTTGAGGCGCGCTTCCACCAGGGGGGCAGCCTGCAGGCGTCATCATCCTGTCGCACGCCGTCGCCGTGACCTCGGCCAGCTCGCTGGAGCTGGCGAAGGCCAAGCGCGCCATCGCCGCCGCCGAAGCTCCTGCCCCGTCCGCCGACGCCGCCGCCGCCGCCTCGGCGTCGGCCCCGCTGTTGCCCTCGCCTTTGCGCTTCCTGCGCGGATTCAAAACCGCGACCACGTTTCACCGAGGGGGGCAGGGGGGGCGTCGGCCCGGGTCGCGCGCTGCCCTGGCATCGCGGCGCTGGACCTGGAGGGCCGCTGAACTTGAGACTACCACTCGTAGGTGCCGGGCAACCAGACGGCTACAGAGAGAGCCCAAGTCCCCAACCTCATCGCAGCACAAGCGACAGGCATAGCCACGGGGTTGAAGAAGAGGCACGAGGGTTCGACCTCCTCGGGACGGACAACGGCCCCATCCGCATCGATGTAAGTAGGCGTCGTCCAGCGCGCCATCTGTCTCGCAATGTGCGCCTGCAGCAAATCCGCGTGTTGGCAGGGTCAGTGCTGCAGCCAGATGGCGTTTATGATGTGCAATGCGCAGGTGATTAAGTAGCTGTTTACGCGCGTGGAATTCTTCATCGCACCCAAGCTCTGGACATATGCAACAGAAGGGGCGTGTACCCCGGGGGCGCCGATCAGGGCTCGCTCCCCGACGGGGCAATTGGGGGTAAACCCAGCCCTCAGGCGCAGGCGGCCCAGGCGGCGGAATCGCCAACGCGAACGCCCGACCTCGGACCCTCGCGACATCGACAGCCCGAAAGTCCTTGCAAACCTTTAGATCGGAGGAAAGGCAAACGTCCAGCGCGAAGTCATCGAACACCCCCTCATCCAAGATAGGTCCTGCCTAGCCAAGATCCGCGACGACCTGCCATGCCCACGGAGAAGCCCACCTGGTAAGCTGGCCGTTCCTGGCGGGGGGCCTGCCCGAGTCGATATTCAGGGTGCCGAACAGCGCGATGAGAACCTGCGAGGGGCCCCCGGGGCCCTTGGCCCACACTTTGGCACAGACGAAGGCGGCGGATGTGCATCTTCTCCCTCGCTCATATCATCTCCCAATGCTTGAGAATGCCATGTGCTCGCGCTACGGGCGCCCCCCCCCCCCCCCCCCCGCCCCCCAGTCTGCGGCGCCGCCCCCCCCCGGCCGCGATCTTGACCAAACCAGCCAGGCAAGGATCCGCGATGCCAGAGCCCCTGGGAGTCAACGCGAAGGGCCCCAAGCAGGAGGGGAATGCGTTCTGAGAAAAACCGACCAGGAGCGAACGTTTGCGTCGCCGAAGCAACGGCAACGACCACGCCCCGCGCAGCGAGAAGACCTAATGCCGGGCCGCCGCGCAGCGGCGCTCGACCTCGTTCTGTCCAGCCCCCCCGGGGCGCAAGGCAGGGGCTCGGGCGGCGCGCCTCCTCCACCGGGCGACGCGCGAGCCCAGTGGAACCAGCTGGCTTCGCCTCCTGCTGGCCCGCGTTCTGTGCGAGGCCGCGCCCCTCAAGGGCCGCGTTCAGCTCGCGGTCGGTCGCGGGAATCTCCCGGAGGCGGCGAGTGAGCGAGGAGCCGCTCTCAGCCAAGCCGATTTTGCCCAAGTCGCACGCGCGCTTGAGGAAAGAGAGGTCGGCCCGAAACTCGCCCCGCCCCCCCCCCCCCCGCCCCCCGGAAGACCGTCGCCATCGGATCGCTATCCTCGAGAGCCCCCCCCCCAATGCGTGATCGGCCGGGCGAGCGTCTGCAATGGCGTTTTCACTGCGAACGGGTCTCCCATCACCCCCCCCCCCCCCCTGGGCGGCCATCTCCCTGCCCCCCCCCCCCCCCCCCCCCCACACACACACACACTTTCATCGCAATAGTAGAAGGCAATATCGTTGATGCCAAAGCTCGGTGACATCTGGACGAACAGGTAACTGCATACTGCGCTCCGTCGAACTCGAATATGCGCTGGCAAATACATTCGTCGCACCCTTGAATGCCACGCAATGCGTCTGCTTGGTAGCGCGAAAGCGATGGCTCACGACCTGGCGCGCCAACGCTGGGTTCTCGCGCCGACGACCTGCCATGAATCCGGGATCCTGACTCGCGCCCTGCGCCGAAACCCTCCTAGCGTAGAGCGCCCTGCCCGCCGCTGGGAGGGCGCGCGCCGCCCCGCTCCCGCGCGGGCCGCGCGCGCCGTGCTCGCGCAGCGCAGCTCCATGCGAGCGGTGCCAACGCAAAGGCGGGGCGCCACATGTGCACGTATCCTGCCTCGGCCAATTCCCAATCTGTCACCGGACATCCACGCGTTGAAGGAAGCCTGGTCGTAGCCCACGCCGCCCCTGCCGCGTCGACGCCAACAGGGGGAAACAACGCGCGCCAAATCTCGAGGGGCACCGCGCCGTCGGGGACGGCGCGTCTCTTCGGCGCACGTCTCACGTACCTCTTCATAGCGCGAACGCCCTGCTCAACCGCATCCCCCCCCGTCTCCGCGTCCACATTGGGCTCGTATCCTCCATCCACCTCCCGCTGGCGTCTCCGCCCGTCCAAATTGATCTCCTCCGCCGACGCTCCTCCACTTTTACCCCCCCCCCCCTTCCCGCGCAAATAAACACTCCGCGCAGGTTGGGAGAGAAGCACAAATATGCCGACCGCCTCTGTGCTTAGGGCCGAACCGACAGCGGGCAGCTGCGCGGCTCGCGCGCATGGCCTCGGCATGCCGCCTAGCCCTGAGAGCGGAGGTCGCCTCTTCCACTCGGCGGCCTCTCTGTGTTCGCACATGCGCGCGGCGTTCCCTGATTAGCAGCTGCGACATGTCCTTAAGTTCGGCATCGAAACAGTCGGCCTGCTCCTGGGAGGCGTCGATTTTCCTGGCCTCGATCTGGGCTCTGCGGTGAAGGAGTTCCCTACGGTAGCGACACTGCTCTGAGTGCGTCGAACAAGGCTTAGATGGTTGAGCGACGTGTGCTTGCCCAGCTCTCACCACCGCACCCTCCAGCTCCTCGAAGACTTCGTCGGGGGGGGGCCGATGGTAAAAAACACCCATTGGAAGTCTCTGGAGTTCCTTCTTGGCTGCCTCGAGGAACTGCGCCCGTCCTGCGCCCAACCTCGACGACTCCATCATGGCCGTGCGGTTCCAAGACAGGAGGCGTCTGCGTCGGGGGGTCGCCGCCCCCCTTCCAGAACGGGAGCTCCAAGTGGACGGGAAGGTGGTCCTTGAGAGCGGGGCCCCTGTGCGATTGTAGCTGCGCACCTACTCCCAAGAGCGGCCGACAACACGTAACCTTGTTGATGACCCCCCCAGGAGAAGGTCGGGATAGGTTGCATGGTAAGGGTATTACCTACCACCAGTTGGTGGGCTTCCAGCACCTCCCGAAACAAATGTTCTGCGCCTCGACGCAGGCGTTCTCTGGCGTTCTCTGGAAGGACATCCGACAACACGAGAAGACAGTACATAACACCCCATCCAAGCCCTACGATTCCCCTTATGCCGTCGCTCAGGTATGTGAGAACGAACGGTATGCATCTGCACGGCAATGTAGACATGACGTCGCCAAGCCAATTCGATAACAATTTTACTGCGCGAAAATACCCACGGCGTGCCACACGAGCAGGTAAATAACGATAATATATTGAAGCCAAGTGCACGTCCACTGGTCCGTTCTTACTGCGCACTGCAATACACCGCCCCCCAGCATCAGCAGGGCTGGGTCACACACGGTTGATATCCGACTCCGTCAACCCCTACTGCAGGACTACCGAACACCCACAACTCCGATTCGAGAAAACCTCCGAGGTGGCCGGCACCTCCACGACGAAACGCCCGAGGACTCGTCGACGAAGGACCTTCTGTTCCCCCAGCCTGCTAGAGAACTGGGTCCCTGCGATAAGAATGAAATCATAGTTGCCCGTCTCGTCCACAATCTCCTCCAAACGTGCCCCGTCGCTGCTAACGGATTGAATCCGAGAATACGCAAGGTCATCGCTGCAAGACACCAACCGCGCATGAGTTGTGTGGGCACTCCTCCGAATAGTGCGTCACACAGTGTGCCTCGCTCCCTGACGGACGAAAAACATTCGGGCCAGGGGGGCTGGAGGAGGAAGAGGAAGAGGAGGAGGACGAGGACGAAAAAGAGGAGGAGGAGGAAAACCCCTCCAGGCGGCGCGGAATAGCCGCCGGCGCCCGCAAGCCTGGCCCCCCGCGCCATCGCTCGCCCTAGGGCCCCAAACGGCTGCAGCCCGCCGCGAGGGCGCGCGCCGGGGAGGGTGGGGGGCGCAGGCAGGAGGGCAGGCGACCGGGGCCGCGGTAAGTGAAAGGACCCTGGGACACAGAAGTAAATAGACACAAAGAACCGGATTCCCCATATTTGTTGGTTCGTCGTTTTCCCCCCACTTTCCATATATTTTCCAATATTTTCCTGGGGGTCGAGTAAGGGGGGGACGGGGGGGTGGCTCGGATGGGAAGGGGGGCGGGGGACGAAGAGAGGGGGAGGAAGAGCACAGGGGGTTGCGAGGAAGGGACTGAGAGGTGAGAGAAAGGAGGGGAAGGAGGGAGGATCGGGAGGAGCAGGTGGAGAAAGAGGAGGAGGCAACGGGGAAAACGATGCCAAGAAGATGCTCAATATGCATCAGCGATTCTGCAATACGCCCTTCCGTCCCGAACCCCCACATCATGAGTCTCTGTAAGCCAATTTCACGACAACAACTACCTTCTTAAAAGACGAGCGCATTGATGGGCCTGCCACTCAGCAGGGATATCCGTTTGAGAGGGAACGACATTACACCCTCCGAAACAATTGGGATAACGTAAAACTATAGGACCACGCACAAGAATATGCGTTCGATGAAACCCCCGTTTTGACACGGAACCGCCCCTCATCCGTACAGACGTTTCACATATGCGGGTAAGCCTCAAGCGCGGATGCCATTGTGACAAAGAGACGCCTTCACTTTGTGTGGCTGATAAGTTCGGATATATGGTTTCGTAACGGTGGTGCCCGGCGCTGAGGTGAGGGCGTGTGATACAATAGCCTTAGCCATCCTTGTAAACACCTGTTGCCAACAGCTGAGACGAATGCGCGCGGCGCTATTTAAAACCCTGCCCCTCCTCCGTGCTTCAGGACGCTGCAAGCGTTGAGAAGGCATGTGCGCGACACTCGAGATGGGCCCGCTTGGACAACACACCCCCTCCATCCTTGAAACTATCGGAAAAGTCCAGCTACAGCATTGTGCATGGGGACGAAAACTCCGGCGAAACGCCCAGCCCGCCCTTACCCACACGACCCGTGGCGCGACAAGGATATGACAACTTTTTGACAGCGGCCGCGGGCGAGCGCGCCGGCGGCGTGTCAGGTCAAAGCGGGCTACGCAGAGACGAATTCGGCAAGGGAAACGCGGGAAGAACAAACAGGGCGACGTGCGAGGCGAAAGGAAATGAAAACGTGAAAAGTGAAAAACGGCCCGTAGAGCGGGAGAGCCCGCGCCAGCGCGACGCCCGGCCGCGGAGCATTCGGTGCACCAGCCAATCGTCACTCCACATCTTGCGTTTGCCGCCCGCGCGTCTGCACGGTGACACTCGCTCGGTGCCGAAGTCGCCCGCCCAACATCTTTTTACACCACCTTCCACCTGAGACGGAGGCCGCGCGCCTGGCCACTGCTACGTTTGCTCTGGAAAGCGCCACAACCCAGACTCCGACCCCGAACTTGGTCGCCGAGTCGACGCTGGTGTTGGTCGCGCGCTTGGGAACAAAAAAAACACCCAATCCTCGCCCAGCCTCCGTTTTACACCACCGAATTGCCTCACAATTATTATCTGCGTGGTTTTTAGCCGCCGCTCCTGATCAACTAATAGAGTCCCAGTTCCCGCTCCATACACAACGCACGGGGACACTGTCGATTGGAATCACTCTATTACGTGTGGCACTGGTACGCGACGATCACACAATATAGACTCATGCTTTGAAAATGCCACCCAACCTGAAACGATTATGTAGTCGAGCTCTGCTGCGTGGAAATCGTCCATGGGTAGCTTCCGGCTCAAATACTTGTTTCGCCTGTCCTTCTTGCCACATTCGTGCGTCTTGGTCGCCGCAATTCACAGCAATCGGCTGGGCCGAAGCGTTTGTCATAACGACAGTCTTGCGAATGTGCAAGTTGAGTCCGTACATACGAGCTTCTGCGTCCAGGTCTTTGATCATGCGCGAAACACCCCTGGAACTAGTGGCCAGCAGAAGTACGTCATCAGCAAAGCGCAGCTTGAGAGCGGATTGCCAGGATCATCCACCACCATGCCAGGACTGTCAGGATCAACCACTATGGCGCGACAAGGAGGGGCGAACTGAAGGACCAGGGATGGAAGGGAAGAGGATTTTGAGAGGGGGGGCAGTAGAACGCTGAGGAGGGGACTGGAGACAAAGCGGGGGGGAGGTGATGATCCAACCTGAAGCCACCCCCGACGGCGGCAGACGCCACTGCTGGGACGCGGGGTGGGGGTGAGATCTCGGCGGCCTGCGAGGGTGGCGCTCTGGCGCGGGCCGAGCCGAAACATCCAACCCCCAGTCGCGACCCATTCGGCAATACTGCCTCGCCCCCGTTGTGGCCACGAGCCTCTTGGCTGCCCTTGGGTTGGGAGGGCGGGTCGCTTTGGGTTGGGGGTCGCTTTGGGTTGAGAGGGGAATTGGGCTGCCCACCAGCCGCGCTGCGCCACGCCACTCGCGAGAATGGGGGCTTGATGGCCCCAAAGCGTGGGGGAGATTGAGCCGGGGGTACACCAGAAGCGAGCGGTGGGGTGCACTGGAAGCGAATTCGGCACAGCAGCAAACAGGAGAAAGGCGAGGAGGAACAGAGGTGGAGCCCGCTCAGACCATGAAGTCCGGCGCGAGGGTGCCGTAAAGGGGAGCTGGACGCACAAGCGCTACGCAGAGTGCATCGCCCTGACCTCCGCGGCACCCGCGACCCCAGACTCACGAAGCAGTGGGTGGGTGCGGGGATCCACTCAGACGGCCGCCCCGGGCGCGGACAGCGCTAGGGGCGGTACCAGAGGCGCCACGGAGGGGGTCTCAGCACCGATCCACTGTGGGCAACATTTGTATCCATATTCAAAGCGTCTTGGACTCTCTGGGAAGAGGCGCCAAAAGGCCGAAGCGCACTGGATATTTTGTTAAAAACCGGCCCCTGGGGGCCAGATTTTCTTGCATATGCCGGGCGCCTCTGGATTCTGGGGAAGGGAACCCTGCACTCCAAGACGCAGTGGATATGGATACAAGTATTGCCCGCATGCAAGATATCCGAGCGGATCTCCCTAGGCTGATGTTTGTGCCATTCTCTCTTCCTCGACTGGCGGCGCCGACCTCTCCGGCCCCAGCCGCCTCGCCAGACGTCCGACGTCGACATAAAGCCCGTCTTTCCTTCCGCGCCGTTGTTTGACAGTCCCGGGGCCCTTTGAGGGCCCCCAGAGGCCGAAAATAGCCAAACGTCTGGCGCTCCATTGTTTTCGGAGCCTCGGATCTCTGGGCTTCCAACTATGTTCGGTGGCAACTCATGGGATCCTCCCGTGCCCTCTTGCAAGCTTTTGCGAATCGACGCTGACCGACGCCAATCGACGCCAAATGGACAATGTGGAAGCCTCAGATCTCTAGATCTGAGCTTCTGTCGGCGACTCCGAAGGGTATGGCTTACAAAGGGTGTGGATTGCAATCGGCACCCTTGGAGGCACCCTGGGGGACAAGCGGGGACATCGATTGAGCTCTCCGCCGCGACCCGAGGAGGCCCGACGAGGACAGTGTCGTTCCCTCCCCACAGGCCGCAACGACCCCGATCGCAAATCTCCCCCGTCTGGAACTACCAGCATCAAAGATAACACCACCAAGCCACGGCCAGACACCCCCCTTCTATTACGAACGTCGGAATACAACTTCCTCCTCTCGGCATTGGTCGCCACAGTCGCCGTCGCCGTCTCCGCCCTCCTTGTCGCCGTCCACGAAGCGTTCGCCACCGTCGTCGCCGCCGCCGGTCGTCGTCATCGTCGTCGTCTTCATCGTCGTCGTCTTCATCGCCGTCGTCGCCGCCGCCGTCGTCGCCGTCGCCGCCCTCCTCGCTCCTCGCCGTCCTGGTCGCCGCCGCAGTCCCCGAAGTTCCCGGGGCGCGGCCAGCCGCGACCACGCCCGGACGGGCCGCGGCGGAACCGCGGCGCGGGGCCGCGGTGGCGTGGGGGGGGGGGCCGCCGCCTCGGCCCCAACGTCCACGAAGCAGCCGAAGTCCCGGACGCTCGTGACCCTGCCGCCCATCTCCTGGGCGGGGGGGGCGAGGAGGACGACGAGGAGAACGACGAAAGGGCAGACGAGGAGGAGGGGGACGAGGAGAACGAAGCGGAGGAGGATGAGGAGGAGGAGCGGGAGACCGACGAGGACCCTGCCGCCGACGAGGAGGCGGAAGAGGAGCTCTGAGCTGACATGGGACTGCCCGCAAGCGTGATGACCAGAGGAATGAAACACTCGGCCAACGAAGGGGTCTAGTCGCCACACCACCGCATCGGGCGGGCGATGCGCGAGTCATCCGAATCGCTAGCGTCGGGAACGCCCGATGACTTGTCCCAGAAGGCCGACTCAGCGTGGGAATCAAGAGGCTGCGACGACCTTTGCCTCGTCTACACCCCATCACCACCGACCCAATCCCCCCCAAACCCGAAGAAAAAAGAGAGAGAGAGAGAGAGAAGTGGAAGCGGCGGCAGCCCAGCCGTCTCGCAAAAGGCTCTTGGCTCGCAGGACAAAAGGGCGGGCATGCGACGAGGCCCGCCTTAGGGCGGCACCTCTTCAGCACCTCCTGGCGGCGACAGTATTTCAAGTTGCTGTCAAGACGCGCGGGCGGCCCTGCATGGTGAAACGCTTGTTGCCCTGCACGGTGAGACGCTTGCGCTGGCGCAACACAGTTCGGGACTTGTAGGGAACTCACAAAAAGACGTAATCGCCCAACTATGTACATGAACACGACCCCTCGATCCGCGGGAATGGCCGCGAGATGCGCACATTCGGGCAATGCGTACTCGAAGCCAGCGTGGATTCATGTGCGTGTACGTCCTCATTTCTCTCCTGAACTTGGCCGAACGCATGCATTTGAACCAACGATGCAATCTAGCGGCAGCAAGATCATACAGTCAATGCAGGCGAAGAGGGTTCATGCCTCCATCGACCGTGCCTGAGGCACTCCTGGGGGCCTGCGGCTGAGCATCCT